CTTCTTGTGGCCAGAGGAACGGTTGAGGGATCGACGTAGTAGTCGGCCTGGGCCGTGGCGACAAAGGCTGCGGCGGCGGCGAAGACGGTGCTCTTGAACGAAGGCATTGTGATTTGGTATGTATTTGCCGGATCGGTTTCGAGGATGAACCGTTTTGGTTTATATTTGTACGGGGGTTTGTTTGTTGTCGTGGAGTGAAAAGTTTCCAAAGAAGATTTGACAAGATTCAAATATTAATATCGACTGCAGTGCGTTTCCTGGTCAGCAATCGCCTTGTGTATGTTTATGGACTGCTCTTTCCGTTCCGTCTTTTTTGTTGCTGCATTCCTGAACTCTCGTCAAGCCAGCGAAAGGTCATGACGGGGAAACTTATCGAACGCCCATTTGGGCCAACAACACATGGCTTTTTCGCCCAATTTAGGTTGATTGGGGCGGTCGGGCGAGTTATGAACGAGGCGTTGAGGAATGGGCGGTTCTGACTTACGCACTAGTATTAAAATGGAGCCCTTTCGTTGCTAACGAAAGTTGGGGACTGGGTCGACAGAGAGCGGACTAGTAGCGACTGAGAGGCTGGAAAATCGGTTTCTGGGACGAGATGTTGTTTGGTGCCTTGTTTATAAATAGCCAATGACGAGACTGGAACGACGGAGATGTGAAGAGTTGGAGGAGGTTGAGTGAGGGTCCAATACAATATATGTGCAGACACGTTATTCAACTGTGTAACGACAGACCAAGACAAGATGATGCAGACACACGCAGAGGGGCAGTTCGATAAGGGAGGTGAGAGGTGGAAAAGGGAGAGAAGAGGAGAGGAGAAGCGGAGTGAAAATCGTCTAGAGAAGTTGACGGTTCATATCCAAAAAAGCCCCGGAGCACAGAGCCGTGGGGAGGAGGGCGAGAAGGAGGAGCAGGCAAGCCGGACGCACGACGTTCGCCAAGCGGACACTAAGGTTGACTAGCACACATTCGAAGTGGTAGCATGTTCTTTCGGACCAGGGCCTTGGTCGGGAAGATTTTCTTATCCACAGCAAGGTATCAGTAGTATTCGGTACGGTGCAAAATAAAGGAGGCCCGGGGCCCTAGGTACAACGCCATGGGGCTTTCTCGCGATAATCCACAGGCAGGCATCTGCATGGGAGTCTATAGAGAGGAGCCGGTCAAGGAGGGCCGAGGGGGAAATCGGAATTGGGTTTAGCACGTTCTCCATGCCAGCCACCCGGCATATTTCCTGCTGGTGATTGTGAAGTGATTGTGTGGTGGTCTCGCTGCCAGCGCCGTTTGTCGAGAAATGGTCCCAGGGTCGATTAAAGGAGCTAAAAGCTGGCCAGGGTTCGTTTTGGGTCTGTTCATCGACATCCCCCCTTGCTGTGCCCAATCACAGGATGAACCCTTCCCTGACTCTTGGGATGGGATGGAGGTTCATTGGGGTTTTTTTTCGCTCTCTCATTTTTCAATGTCCCTTTCCTATGCACCTTTGGTACGAGACATGTTTAGACGTTGATCGGCTCTCTCCACCATCTCCAGAGCGTAGAGTCACCACTTTTCTACAAGTGAAATTCATGGGGAATTGATGGGCAGATGGTGATAGCGTGAGGGGAACCCAGCCCGCAAGTTCGCAACCTGCCTGGCATGTCTGTCTTTTGCCGCCCTTGTCATTGACCCGCCAGCCCGCTTGAATGGTAGGGAGGCAAGGTTGTGGTTGTGTCTCTGGAGCCCCAGAGTGCCTTTTCCCTCAGAATCAGGCAAGTCGAGAGTCGTCTATCTGTCGGAGCTGTTCACAGCAGGATTGACAAGCCGTGGCAAGGCCGGGTTGGTGCACAATTGCTTCTTCGAGGGCGACTCTGGTGGCGGCTCTCTCCCGTGGTCTGTCTTGGTCTTGTGTTTTTATTCGGTGGATACTGACTGAGGCTTAGCCTGAGGTGGGAGGGGTTCAATGGGAGCATGCCGCTCTCTGCAGGGATCTATGGACTCATTCCATGTCCTTCCTGGCCCGGGGGGATTGGCTTTTTGCGTCGGCGCTCTGCACTCTGTCTGCAGCACCGATGGCACTAAAAGGGTCGTTGGCGTCTCTTTGCCTGCGCCGCTAACGAGATCGGGTGTCTATTATTGCCCGGAGATGAATCTCCTCTTCACAAACCGCAACTTCGCACCGCGCGAGCCCACTGAAAACACGTCGAGGGCCCTTTTCCCATCGTTGCCGCAAGAAACGAGCGGTCCGAGTATTCCATCCGATGCTCTGTACATTGTAGAAGTGTACGGAGTACATGGTAGATAGGTGCTAAAAGCCAGGGAAGAGTCAAGGGACCAGCCTTTGCAGCCTTGCCGAGGTTGCGGTGACAAGGTCTCTCGATCTTTGGCTCGTTAATTTGCACACCCGGACCCGTTTGAGATTGGAAGGGCCGGCCTGTCCGTCCGTCGCCATTCGCCATATTTTTGCTGATCCCATGGCAATCCTCCTCTGGAGACTGGAGGCTTGCCTCGCTCGATTCCAGCCCCGGCCTTTGCTGGTCTAGTGCAGGTTGCCCATGCTTCGGCATTGCACCCAGTTAGCGGCGTCATCTAGACATTCCTGTGCTCGTTCGTATCCCCACGATTCACTAGACACACTGACGACGACTCCGTGTCTGTTCTGCCTGGCAGTGAGGTATTCCATCGAAGATGTGGCACCCATTCGTAGGTAGTCGAGACTCGAGACCATGTCGCTCCATACCCGAAAACGGCCCAGTCGAATTCCCACTTGGTTGCGACTTTGCAGGTCGGATGACCGGACCCATTCTTGATTACGAGGTTGCAGAAGACAGGAATTGTCTCGATGCTCTCCATAAAATGCGCCGAGTGCAAGTTATGGAGCCAAGACCAGTCTATTGTGCAGTAATAAACTTCGCCGCCAAACATGCTTGACCCCTCCCCTTGGCTCCTCTTAGCACAGCTTTACGAGACCACCATCATTTATTCGTACAACATGCACCTAACTACGAGGCGAGACAAGTATTGTGAACTTGTGCCTTCCGCCCTGCCGGGAAGCGTCTCCGTGAGCCCGTGTGATTCTCCCAACCGCCGGCATTTTTTCTTTCGTGAGGGTCTCGACACCACTTGGCTAAGTCCGTGATGCGTATCCGTATGAAGCACAGCTGTGGCTGTTCCCGGCATCCCACAGGCCGATCGCCACTCGTATTCTGCAGTCTGCTCCCTAACCAGGGCCGCTGTGCAGGACAGCCGATGCAGCTAGCTGTGCAGTCTAGAGCAGCGTGGTGGACATCGACTGTTTGAAAGCTGATACATGGCACAACAAGGAATGGCTGGTGCTGACTCCTTGTTCAACTTGGATATCGAGGTGGTTGGCTCCGCCCGGATCTTGTCTGTCGCCTCCGAGACCCCTTCCTGCCGGGCGACGATCCCAAGCGCCCCAACATATCCGCATCGATGCGTCTCTGGACTCGTAAATAATCCGTGGTAGAGCGCTGACACGGCGCCGTTCATCACGAAGCTGCCCTTCAAACTGTGACTAGGCGTCAGGAGGATGGTGCCCGGGATCGACGTCAAAAATGAGCCTCCGGCCGTTACAACTGGATGTATTATTTGGCGGGGTGTTCACGACTGCAAGTCTATTCGGATGCTAATTGTATGATGTGATTAGCCTTCGAAGTCACAGGTCTTACCGTCTCGTCGTTGCAATTCGCAAGTACCGAGAAGTCTGCTAGCCGCCAACGGGAACGCACTGGGGTAGACAGCGTAGAATCGAAATGGAAGCCGAAGCCCAAACCCCCTGCTCGGGGAGGTGCGCTAACTGAGAAGGTGTCAACCCTCCAACTCCACCGCGGCTTCGTTTCTGCAGCTTCGTATCCGCACCGATGTGTCGGGGTTTGGAAGTGCCTATTGTCGCACCTCACAGGATCGTGGCCCATGCCTTTTGTGTCCCCATGTTGTGTACACAGATATCTTCTACCAAGCGCCGCCGCCGGTCTCCCCTTTGGTTTGACACGTCGTCAGAATCTCCTTGGTAGGACCCTGAGCCGACCATTCTGGAAGTCCGTGTTTGCGATGCAACGAAGGAAAAGAAGAAAAAAACAAGTGATATCCCATTGTATCGACTTAGCCCAGGACAGATTAAATTGCAACCATTGCAAAAATTTTGTTGCAACATGTAAGCGTAGCAGTTTCCCGCGTATTGGACGACAGAAACATTACCCACCTCATGCCCAAGGTGGGCGACGAAGAGATAGGTATAGCGGTCCACTCTCGTCTAATGGATCATGGCACCTGGCAAACGTTTGTTCGCATTCGACCCGCATACTGACCTTCCTCGCGTATTCGCAGGGATTTTCCGTGAGTGGCAGGCTCTTATTGTCCATTACCTAAGCCAAAGTCTCTGGCTCGCACGAACCAACAGGCTCAGGGGAGGAACGAGGGAGGAACGAGCCGCAAGAAGGTAAAGTAAAGTAAGTAGGTATTGGTAGGAGCTTCTCTTATCGCCATACTTTATCCGCATGGATATCATCACCCTGGAAGCTGTATTTTGTAAACAATAACTCAGACTCGCCTGAAAAGTACAGACGGCCGTTGTGGGGGTGCATCATCTCCCTTTGAATGACGAAGCTGGGCTCTCTGGCGCATTGTCTGCTCATTGCTGTGCTATTCCTCCATTCCAACCTCACCCCTAAGATGTCATTCGCAGACCCCTTTGCATCCCGCGGGCCGACTAATTGCCGCCCTAAGGTGATATCGCCGATAATCATCAACATCCCATCGTCTGTCTGCCCGCTTGTTAGCCAAGCGGCCGCCATTCCACTCTTGGTCGACTACATAGCCCGGCGGCACCACCCTAGCAGACCGGAGTCCAGCGAACGCCCCGAGACAAGTCTTTCGTCAGGCTACCTAAGACTTTTGATATCGTCATACGGTCAATACGTCACAATTGTACCTTCGCTGGCCTCGAACGCAGCGCATCACAAACTCAGCATCACGGCTGTCCATGAGGTAGCGCCCTCGCACATGGATTCATGGACTCGGCGATAGAATCCCAGTTCCGACCGAACGGCGGCCTCAACGGGGGCGGAAACGGCCATATTACGCCTTTGCAAAAGGTCGCCACGGACGGAACCATTCGAGGGTTGTTGTCGCGCCAGAACAACAATGATACACGAGGTGGATTGTTCGGGGACGACGACGACGAAGAGGATGAGGAATTGACAGAGTCACCTACGGAGTCGTCCGTGACAAGTCCGTCTTCAGTAACATCGCCTCCGTACTGGCTCGGTCACCACCAGCGCTCAGTCTCCAATATGTCGGTCGAATCCGTGCTACCCGCCGGCGCAATCACGATGCACGATAATGAAGCGAGCGATGTCAATGGTCGAAACCGAGCCTGTTGGGCGAAGAGCGTCGAGGTTACCGATTACGTCGTGGTGAACGGTAGCGCCACCAACATTGGGGCATTCGTCGTCTGGAACATTAGAGTCGAGACATTGCAAGTGAGTGGTGTCCGTGGCCCAAAAGAATGGAGGATTCAACGAACGCCGCCCGAGATTAGAGCAAAATCGCTGACAAGACATACATAGGGGAGTTACATGAACATCCGCAAGCGATACTCGGAGTTTGACGAACTTCGCGAAAAGCTGATCAAGACGTTTCCCAACTTCGAAGCAGCTGTGCCGCCACTACCGCCTAAAAGCATGATTTCCAAATTCCGGCCCCGTTTCCTCGATAAAAGGAGAGCAGGGCTGCAATACTTTCTCAAGTGCGTCACGAACCTATTGCCGTAGATGTCCCTCTGGCGGTTGCTAACAATTGGCAGTTGTATAATGTTGAATCCCGAGTTTTCTGGGTCGCCAGTACTCAAGGAATTTCTCTTCTCGTAATTGTAGTGTGTGAATACCAAAATGTATTTACTTCACCTTCTTGTACATGTTTTTGGGGGTATATCGGCAGCCCCAGTCGTAGCCATGCCAGACGGCTTTCTCACAAGGGCGTCGGACAGGCAAAAATCGATGGTCATCTGCACGTACATAGCGGTTTGAAGCGGGTGGGATCATGCAACAAACCAATAATGATAATGTTTTGCACGATGAATCAGACATTTGGGATAGTGATAGTCGAGATATCTATCCATTCACGCAGACCACGGCGGTTGCGTGACATGATGGATTCATCTGTGGCCGCCAAGCCCATTGCCGGAAAAGTCTCGGCGGCCGTGGCCGGGTGGGGTACTAACGCTATGGAGATGTCAGAACAGCGCACAAAAAGGAAGGACGTAAAGGTTCGCCGCCGGACATGGCCCGTGATGATGTGCTGTCCTGCCGGCGTGAGACGGGCCACGCTGGTTGGGCTCCAGAGGGGGCTCCCCCACAGATTGACGCGTAATGTTCAGCAGGGTGTGCAGGGCTGAGGGCGTCAGTGGCAGCAGAGAATGGCCAAGGGTCTCCTGGGGTTCAGAGATCTTATTCCCTTCCGAGTTGAGGAGAGCCAGAAAGCCTAACTCAGCCCAGTTCGGTACGTATAAGGCACCGGTAGAGGAGAGTCAAGCCTCTGCTGGCGAGTCCTTACGGACCTTGGGTAGGTTAGCTACCTATTTACGGATCCACATTGTGATTCCGGCTGTTCCAAAAGATGTCTGTTGGTGTCACGCTGCTGGCGCTCAACACTCGTGAGATTCTGCGGACTGCGAAGAGCACCGCTGATTCGCGCATAGACAGCCGCGTACCGACGGCCCCCATCCGCGATTCCGAGCAGATCAGTCTGTCGTGCGTCACAGCCCGCGGTGTGATATATACGCCAGCGGTAGTCGGCTGAGCAAACCTGATCACTGGGTTTTCTGCCTTCTGTCGTCCAGAAACAGTCGGCAACTTGGCAGTGCCGTCACCCTAAGCCTTTTCTTTCCCCCCCACAGGCAAGGGTGTCCCTCTTGGTACCTCATGTTGCAAGGCCGGCGAGCGTTTGTTTTTGCATAGTTTTTTATTGTTTTTTCCCCCGGCCTGGTAGACTCGGCTCATTGTCTTGTCATTTGCAGGCGTCGCCGAGATCCATCCCCATACCAGAGTGAAGGATCGGAGAGGGCCCCCACGAAGGCAATATATTACTGATCGGTCACTCCTCCTGGGCGCATTCTTGACACGGCTTTTTGCTCTCCCTCTCTCCCCATTCTCGTCTTTTTTTAGACCGCACAATTTTCCGTACTGCCTGCCTTACTCGGCTGCTTTTGTATCCATGTCCTGACAGAAGTAGTAATCATTATATGCTTACTTGAACACCATATTCTTTCTACCCTATCTATGGCTCCTGCACCTTACATGTTCAAGCACCTGACCCCATCTCAATCACCATCGATCGTCTGGGTGTCTGCTGCACACAGCTAATAAGGGAAGTGACGTCGCCATCACTGCCTCCAAAAAAACAAGACAGGTTCCAAACCGGACCATCAGCAAGAAAGTCAGAGTTCGAAACGAAACAGACCACCGAACGCTCTCACCTAATCCACGCGCACACACTCACCCACTCACACACATACACACATACACACATAACAAGGCACATAGAAATAGGCCGGATGCCTGCACCAACCGGCTCTCGGATGGGATCCCTATCCCTTCTCTTTCGTCACAACCGGGCGGACCCCACCATTCCCCCAACCGCCATGACGAAACCCGCCCACGAGGTCGACTCTATACCGGTTCCAGCCCAGCAACCTGCTTCTGGTGGCGGTGCCGTGTCCCCGAGCGACGCTTCTGCCTCGTCTGCGTCTGCGTCTGGACTACCCCGAAAGACCCCTCTTCACCAACATGCTTCTCACGCCGCCGCCGCCGCCGTTATTACCCCGCCGGCCAGTCCTCCCGTGCCAAGACCTGTCGACGAACAAGACGAATTCCACCCCATCTTTTCCCCTGCTGCTACTGCAACTACCACCACTACTACCACTACCACCACTCACACAACTGAATCTGCAACAGCCCCTCCCAGTGACGACACAAGCTCATTGGCGCAGTCGCAGACAAGCACAAACAGCAGTTCTCGTCAGGAGTACATGGACAGCTTAGTCCCGCCATCGCAAAACCAATTTGAAAAGATTGCAGAGGTGCAGCGCATACGTGAGGAGGAGCTGAAGCGGAATAAGTCGAAGCGGCGACCCATGCAGACACAACGCCTCCACGACCACTTTCACAACACCCGCTACTTGCAAGAAGGGCAGGAGGACACCACCGGGGACGCAGTCGACGAAGCACAAATGACTTCGCGTGATCAAGATCAGTCACAGTCAGCACCAACGACAGAGGGGGGTGAACGGGGCGATAGCGAGGCGATCAACAGGGCCGCGGCGCTGATCCAGCGCAACTACCGGGGGTATCGCGTGCGAAGAGAGATGCAGGGCATGGGGCTGAACGCGTCGACGAGATGGGTCTCGGCCATCGACGAGCTGCAGTTCCGCGAGCTGAACCGGCCGCGCGCAAAGAGCTCCGTCAGCGCCACTGGGTTGTCTCCCACCGACGACAGGCACAGCGTGCTCTCGAGGGACGAGGGGGGCGGCATGAGTGGTCCGTCAACGGCCCGGGAGAACTGGAGGAAGGCGGCGACGATTGCGCGGCGGGCGGGGCACGATGACGTCGAGTCCGACTCGGACTCGTCTGGATCCTCGTCGGAAACGGAGGAGACACCTGAGAAGAGAGCTGAGAAGAAGAAGCGGCGCGAGGAAGCCGTGGCGAGGCGGAAGAAGGATTCCAAGATGATGGGACTGCAGTATTTCCTGGAAATGGTCGATCTCAAGCACCGCTACGGGAGTAATCTGCGCGTGTACCACGAGGAGTGGAAAAAGTCCGAAACGACGGAGAACTTCTTCTACTGGCTCGACTATGGCAGCGGCAAAAACGTTGAGATGGAGGCGTGTCCCCGTGATCGTCTCGAGAGGGAACAGGTGCGGTATCTGTCCCGCGAGGAGAGACAATTCTACCTCGTGCAAGTCGACGATGAGGGACGGCTATGCTGGGCCAAGAATGGCGCGCCTATCGACACGACCGAGGCGTTCAAGGACAGCATTCACGGCATCGTGCCTGCAGACGACCCGACGCCAGCGTGGTCGCAGAACAACACCCCACAAACATCTCCCGGAGCCGACGCCGCTGATGACAGCCGATCCGAGTCCTCGGTGGAGTCGGCATTGGAGGCGGATCGCGCAGCCAAGTACGCCACGCCCGAGGTGGATGGCGCAACGGGCGTCAAGAAGGTATCGCACATCTCGGCGGCGACAGTCTTCAACAAGATGCTGCGCAAGTCGGTCAAGAAGAACACGTGGATCTTTGTCGCGGACACGAGCTTCCGCCTGTACGTGGGCATCAAGTCGTCGGGCGCGTTCCAGCACTCGAGCTTCCTGCAGGGCAGCCGCATCTCCTCGGCGGGGCTCATCAAGATCAAAGAAGGGCGGCTGTCGAGCCTGTCGCCACTCAGCGGGCACTACCGTCCTCCTGCGTCCAATTTTCGCGCCTTTGTCAAGAACCTCAAGGAGGCGGACGTCGACACATCCCACGTGTCGATATCCAAGTCATACGCTGTGCTCGTCGGGCTCGAGGTCTACCTCAAGTCGCGGCAGAAGGGCAAGAAGGCGCTGGAGAAGATGACGCACAAGAAGGAGAAAATTATGGAACCCGAGGAGTTTCGGAAGCGCGAGGAGGAGGCGAAAGACAAGAGCGAGAGCGCGGCCAAGGAGAGGAAGGTACTGGAAAAAGAGGCCGAGGAGAGGGAGGAGAATAGGGCGGCGATAAAGCTGATGAGGAAGCTGAATCTCGCGCCGCAGGTGCCGGCGGGTCAAAGGGGTGGTGAGGGTGGAGAGGAGAAGAGGGAGGAGGAGGAGCCTGTGATGGAGACGTTGGCTGAGGAGAGAACGAGGGAGACGGCTGCTGCTGCTTCTTCTCCTGCTACCGCTACTCCTTCAACTGCTGCTCGTCCTACTGCTTCATCTGCAGGGGTATAGATCGCTTTGTCTTTTCTTTGTCTTTTTTTTTTTTTTGTTCGGGACGACGTAAAATAGACGGTGGGTTTGGATCTCTGAGGAACCAGGGTGATGGATCGATCGCCATTGGGTTATGAGCGGGCCATTGGCTTCTTGTTTGAGAGTTCTTTATACCCCCTTGCACAGCTTTGCTTGAGAAAATTCGTATTCTGAGCGTACAGAACGATAGTTAGATGAAAATGTTTAATGAGTATTCCACGATTGACGAGGTCATTTTCTCCCCTGCCACCTCCTGAGGACTGAGTATTCTTTGAAAACATCAATCTGCTCATTTCCAGTTCGTTGATAAGCGCCATTGCAAGGACAATAAATACTCTTCGATCTCGTGGGCTATTCTTAGGGTTTTTCCTAGTCCATGCGTGAAGACTGAGCCTTTTGTCGACTGCACTTGACTATCTATGCATTTCAAGTTTGTATACATTGCGCAGGCTCCCTGTTCTAGCCGGGGTTTCCCATCTCAGGCTTGAATAGAACGCCATCTGTCTTTCTGATCTCAGGGATCTTCTTCGCCTAGTTTGCTGCGTGCATTTTGTTTACCCCCCGACCCCAATTTCCAAGAGATATCAAATTATGTCCTTTGTCGGCAATACGCATCGTTCACGTATCCGTTTACGAATACGTTCGGTGAAAGTGAGAGCACAGCACGAAAGTGGGAATTTTTTTAATATGAAGTTTAGGGATGCAGAGATAGTGTAAGAGAGGCCTAGCTGTAAAGCACCGCCGTCGTCCACGGTGATTAAACTATTATTTACCTTCACAGACCTACCGTCGTACTACGACGGATTGGTCCTCCAAACTATTAGAAAACCTAGAAGAAAACCGAGGTAACTACCTGACCAAACCTGACAAAAGAAAACAACGAAAAATTGGCAATGCCCGGTATCTAGGCACGGTCTGGGTAGGGACCCAGGTGAACGTCCTCGATTCGGATTCGCTGGTGCATACATCAGACAACCAGAACAATGCTGGGTTGCCGACTTCGGCAGGAAGCTGCAAAAGGACGAGGCAGCAGAGAGCATCGTAGGCAAGGTAGCTAGGCTGTGGACTGACTGGCTGCATCTAAATACTTCATCCCCTCCGTCCGTTCTTTTCTATTGTTGTCGGTAGATCTGAGGAACGATGCTGATTCTTTCTACACCCATTGTGTTGCAAATTATGCAACAGGCCTCTGAGAGTGAGATTCTTGCCAAAAGAGGCTACAGCTCTCGAATAATCGAAACCAGGAATCTGCTCTGCGTTCTTCGTAATTAAACATGTCTCTCGGCCATTGTTAACTACAACAACCATAGCAAGAAATTATTATGTATCTACTACTATGATTAAGACGTTGAGTTCTGAGAAAGAGAAGATAGTTGGTGTAGTATACTTTACTTGGTCAGGCACATACTAGCACCACTTCTAGTTACCTCGGTAGAAAGGCATCTTCGCTGAGAGATTATGTGTACTGGCAAGTGGCGTCAAGCGTCGTGAAGTTATGATTCCATATTCAACTTGGCTATTTGTTTAACAAGATGCCCAGATTGATATATTGAGCCTATTGAAATAGTAAAAAAGGCGATATATCCATGTGCAGACATACATAGGTCCCTTGATGTCCAATATGACTATCGAGGCTGAAGGCTATTGAGCTGTCGATCCACTAGATTGCGTTTGGGCAAACCCTGATAGATATCAAAAATCGAGAGGGCTTTAAGACCATGTGTCACCAGCAGATGACCGAACTTAAATAAAAGCTTCTGGGCTTTTTGGCAATACTGTGGGTGATTTGCCTTTCTCATTTTCGTTTTCCTCGAACGGGTCTTACTTTGAACGCATGGAAAAGACTTCAATTGACTTGCATTGTTTCCTTATCCTGATGATACCGCCACGATGACCACTGTGTCTTCCACTATGCATCAAAACCACATTTGGCAACGAGTCATCGCCCTCAAAGGCCGTTTCCCCAAAAAGCCGGCTCTACCAGCACCAGTTGCCCCAACGCCATATATCCTAAGCATCCCAACCGAATTACTCGAGGAAATCATCAAACATCTTGATCTTCACGGCGAATTCATGTTCTCGCAAACCTGCCAGACGGCTCGGATCCTCACTCAGAAAGACTGGAAAGATGCGCTGCTCAAACTTCCCGACCCTGACAAACTTCTTTTCTGGGCCCGGGTGGCCTACAGACTACCCAATCAGTGGGCATGCGCGCGCTGCTGTAAACTTCACGAAACGGACCATTGGGACACGCCCCGAAGTCAACGACTGCCACGATGCCAGCGTGGAGAGACCCTCGACACCCTCGACCGATGCTACAAGCTTCGACACACCCATGTCGACCTTGCGCTCAAATTTAGACGGATGGGTGTCAACACAAGCTACCTCAGGGAGATCCTGGCGCCTTGCGAATACATAGCAAACCGCGAAGCTGGGTCCTGGAAGCCCGGGGTGCCAGACAAGATCCTCCACGTGCCGAGGGTTGTTCGTGGCAGATTCTGTCTAAAAGTAGTAAAAGAATTTCACGATCTGAACTCGCCTTACGAGATTCGCACGTTCAAAGTGTGCCGACACCAGCTGTTCCCATGGTGGCATTGGAGTTTCGATTACTTTGGGCTGTTTGGACAACACGTTGATCAGGCGTGGCATCAGCCGGGGAATGTGTATGACGGCTACTGCAAGTGGTGCCCAATGGACTACTCCGTCGTGCGCGAGGAGGGCATGTTGCGCATGACATTCTGGTATGACTATGGCACGGGCAAATCCGCGAGAGATTTGGAATGGATGATACACGTCGGTGACGAGGTTTACAACAACGCCATTGAACTCACCACCAAATACCATGAGCCTGGAAGCATTCGGGAGCTGTTTCATCAGGGATCATTGAATCATATGGTGCGAGGTTTGACAAGCATGTTGATACGCCATCCAAGGAAATTTTGCAGGAGGGCACGCAAGGTGAGGGCGGCACACAAGGCAGCAGAAGCAGCAGCTCGATGAAGGTGCATTTTCCACAGAAATAGAGTTTTTTTCCTCTTTTGTTTTGTACACTCAGTCTTCTTCAATCTCGGCTCCTGTACTGAATCCTCAGATACCCGTCTCACTGGCTGCTACTGAATTGTGCCATGGCCCTCGACAAAGCTCTCCTCCTCTGATGCCGGGGCCGCATTCGCAGTCCCAACCGCGCCCTCTGTAGCCTTCTTGTAGTACGGTCTGGGAAGGTTTCCATAGTACGGTACAACAATGATGTGGGGATCACTGCTTCCTCCAACCTAGACACGGCGTCAAGATCTTGTTCGCCATTCAGGGAAACAAAATGAGACAAAACTCACCATGGCTTTTGTAGTATTTTGATACGGCACATCAGACACCTTCAAGTTGAGCAAAGATGGCTGCCTCGCGCTCGTCAAAGTCCGCACCGCGACCTTGAGAGACTCCAACGTCTTTGGGCCGTTGCTGGCGCCGTTTTCCTTGACGACGTCCACCACCGCCGACTCGCAGCCGAAGCCTTGCGCGACAACCTCGTACTTGACCTTTGGGTTCATCGCGACGCACGGCCGCTGCGGCGTCTTCTCTCCGTAGATCATATTCTGCCCGGCCTGCGACATGCCCCAGACGCTATTGTTCACCACGACTGTGAGGATGTTCAGGCCGAACTTGGCGTAGGTGTCGAGCTCGCCAATGTGGAATCCTGCGCTGCCATCTCCGTGCAGGTTGACGACCAGCTTATCTGGTGCGGCAACGGCGGCCCCTGTTTAGAGTCAGCGAGCTGTGTCCCTACATGTATAGACAGAAAAGCCTAGGCAGGTAGCAGACCAAGAGAATATCCAAAGCCGTTGCCCAAAAAACCTAGATATCCGGTCGTCACTATTGACAGTCTCGCTCTCGCCTCGTTCAGTGACTGCAAGGCCCATCCACCGCACTCGCCGCCGTCCATGCAAATTATGCTGTCTTCGGGCAGAGATTGGAAGAACGTCTTCACGCCATGATAGGGATGGATGCGGTCGTTCTCACTGATGATCACCGACTCCCTCTCGTTCCCGGCCGAGTGGACGCTTGGCTTCTTCAACGCCAGAGCCTTGCCTACCCAGTCGCTGGATGCCTTGAAAGATGACATGGACGCCGCGGCTGTGAGAGCCCTGGCTGCGAGTCCAACGTCAGACACGATGCCGACCTGTGTATTGTCTAGTCAGCATTTGTTGTTGCCCCCTTCTGAAGTAACAGGCCGGCGGGGGAAATCTCTCACATCGACCCTCCTTGAGCGCCCAATCTCACTCCCGTCCAGATCAACCTGAACGACCTTTGCGTCGCTCTCATTCGGCACAATCGCACCGCTTCTACCACCGATCAAGAAACCAGTCCTAGCTCCCAGCAGAAGAACAAAATCCGGAGCAGGCCCCTGAGCGCGCAAGAACGGGAGCTGGGTCGCCGCGCCGGCAAAAAGAGCATGCGAGCGCTGGATTGTCGTGGAAAACTTGGGCGAGTGGAAGATAGGAGTGTTTGTCGCTTCCGCGAGCTTCAAAACCTCATCTGCGGCCCTCGCCGCACCGGTCGAGACTATGATGACGGGCCGTTTCGCTTCCCTCCAGAGACCTATCGCCTTCTCGACCGCTCCAGCATCAGGCGCGGGAAGCGACACCGGCGGTGCCGTGATGGATCCCCAAGCTACGCTGTCGACCTCGACAGGCGTGAAGAGCACGTCGATGGGGAAATCGACAAGCACCGGCCCTGGGGCCCCCGCCGTCGTCGCCCGCCACGCCAGGCTCACGATGCGAGGAATCTCGTTCACGACGGTGACGCGGTGCGCAAATTTCGTCACGGGCTTGGCCAGAACGACCTGATCGTGGAAGCCTTGGAGGGTATTCGTCTCGGCGTCGCGCAGCGGCGGCGAGCTCGTGATGCAGAAGACGGGAGAGCGGTCCGCGAACGCGGTGCTAAGCCCGGGCAGGCCGTTGCAGAAGCCAGAGTTGGCCGTGATGAAGCAAACGCCGGGCGCGCCGTTGCCCTTGACCTTGGCCCAGCCTTCGGCGGCCTGGACAGCGACGGTCTCGTGACGCACGTCTATGAGCTTGATGTTGGCTTCGACGGCGGCGATGAGGAAGCTGTCCAGGTGGCCCCCTGTGGATTTTGGGTGATGTTGTGAGTCGAGAGAAGCGCCATAATCTATACATAAAGGGGCTTACCATGAATACCGAACGCAGTGGTCGCCCCTAGATGAGCTAGGGATTGCGCGAGGAGGTCTCCGCCGAGAAGCTCGCGATTCCTAGGTTGCCTCACTTGGAAAGCCATTGCCTAATGTATGATACTCGGAACACTGAAGAGTCACGGATGATGATTATTGAACTGCCTTTTGCTGGAAAGTGATTATAGAAAGTTAAGTCACAGCTTCAATTGCTAAAACTTATGCCATTTGACATTCAATCAAGCATTAATAAGAAGCTAAATACGAAATGCTGAGTCACAGGCCAACGATGATGCGGGGAACCGCAGGGAGGGCGGAGGGGGGACTGTTGCTTGGCTCTGAGGTAAGTTGTACGTATAAAACGCTGGTGGTTGCAAATGGGAGGAGTTGTGGAAATGATTACCCGTCGTCCCATGAAAAGCCTTGTATTTTGTGAATCCTTTGCGACAATGATTGAGTCAATAAATTGAGTAGTATTTGACATCAGGTGCTTGAAGGTCGGACGAAGCGATCCTTGCAGAAGAGAAAGACTTACACACTTCCACCTATGCCATCGCCCAGCCGGGAGTCGCACAACCGGGAGTTGCAGCTGCCTCACATCATATCTACCTGGCGTACTGAAGAACCAAAATAGTTCTTGGATCTTATTGAGTACTGTGAGCTGGGGCATCGAAACTCATTGTAATTCCAAGAGTAAAGCCGCGAGATGTAGAATGTGGTTGTTCGGATACGACAGAAGGGGTCAATGAATGCTTTCTTTGCTCCCAATCGTTGTCACCAAAAGCTCACTGCGACCATATCGATAGCCACATTTGATTTGACGCTTGTGGCTTAAAGTAATTGAGCCGTGATGCATTAGCGTGGATCTTCAGTCATGAGGACGCAAAGGCAAGGATGGTTGTAATATATTTTGACTGGTTTGATTGGGACTGTGAAATAGTCTTACGAGAGCTCTAGTATGTAACCTCAACCTAAAAACTAGAAATATCTATGATGCCCATTAACCCCACGCAATGTTGTTGAAAAATTGTACCTGATTAATGAAAGAGATATGGCTATGTGGCAGAATCATTTGCTGCAAAGTTGTGGAACGAATTGGCGCCTCCTGACGCGCTTCTGTTATGGCTTAAGCCTTCTTCTTGCCCTTGGGCATGCGAACCAGCCAGTAGAGACCGACAGCGGCAATGATATTGACAACAATGTACACCATGCCAATACCAAAGTCGCGCCATCTGTTGTCAAAGTCAGAGCTGATGGACTTGAGGAAGACGTTTGTATCGGCGGTGGTACAGAAGCTGCAATCCGTTGTAGCAGATGGGTTCTCGAGGTAGCCTCCCATGGCGTCTCTGTAACCCTTCATGTAGTCTTCGCAAGTTTGGTTGTTTGGTGGGTTGAAGTGAATGTACTCGTTTGAAGAGCACGTCACCTTGGAGTTTGCCAGACCTGTCGAGAGAATCGACGATAGTAGGTAGGTAAATGGCGACAACCTGTACATGAAGATCCAGAAGCCTGGCATGGCTTTGGGACTAGCCAAGACACCGCAGAACAGCAGGCACATCATGAACAGGACGTTTGCGAGATTACCACCCATCTCAGCTGTATCCGTAATGGCGATACAAGCATGGGCAAAGGTGCAGGTGAAGATCATGAACTGCCAGAACAGGAGCCACATGAGGCCAGCGCGCTCGCTCGACTGGCTCGGATCACCGTTCTGGTAGAGACCGACAGGATAATAGACGCAGATGAACATGAAGACAGACATGAGAGAGTTCCATGGAATCTCGGTGACGATTTGTGACAACATAAACACCTTCCAGCTGTAAGTCTTGGAAGGTCGTTCGCGGACTTCGTAAAGAGAGCGTTGGGTGACGAAGTGCGGCATCTGTTGTTGGACCAGCTGACCGAAGATGGAAAGAATGTTGAAGATGGCGAACATTTGATTCTGCAAGCCCTGGATACTGAGAGGGGCGTTGAGGAAGACAAGACCGATGAAGAGGGCAACGGAGCAGCAAAGAATGAACTTGGCGTAAAGGTACGAGGGTGTACGCCAGTACTGCTGGTAGACACGATGAGTGACAATCAAGAACTGATCCCACAGCGGAGCGGCGAACTCGCGGTGGGCCAACTTCTCTTCATGGGCGGAGACATGCTCTTGGGCGGGGCTCTGAGACTTGAGGCGCTGAAGTTCGTCCTGTACAGCTTGATACTCGGGACTAGACTTCCATGCCTCGTGCCAATCGACATTGGTAGTTGAGCCGGGGGCTGCGCCAATAGCAGAAAGCATCCATTCGGCCGGGTTCTCGCCAGGAGGGCAGGCGGGGGCACCGTTCCTCTCAATATAGGATGTAAGGGTGTGAGAGTTTTCGCCGATATCACCAAAGTACACGGTTCTACCGCCCTTTGCCAGGAACAATAAGCGGTCGAAGCGCTGGAACAGCATGGCGGACGGTTGATGAATGGTGCAAAGAATGGACTGACCGGCCTTGGAGAGCTTCTCGAGGAGATCCAGAATGGCCCATGACGTTTGCGAATCCAATCCAGAGGTGGGTTCATCGACGAAGAGAAGCAAAGGCGGTTTAGCAGCCAGTTCAACACCAATAGTAAGTCGCTTCCGCTGCTCGACATTCAATCCCTCGCCGAGAACGCCCACGACGGCATCGGCATATTCTTGCATGTCCAAAAGCTTGATGACTTCGTCCACGTATGCCAGCTTTTCAGCGCGAGGAGTGGTGGCCGGCTGGCGTAACAAAGCGCTGAACTCCAATGCCTCACGAACGGTGCTGGTCTCGAGATGCAGATCTTGTTGCTGAACGTAGCCAGTTCTGCGTTGGAAGGACTGGTCACGGATCTTTCCATCGACGAGCATCTCTCCGGTAATCACGCCCACGGAGACACGGTCTGCCAAGACATCAAGCAATGTGGTTTTGCCAGCGCCGGAGACACCCATCAAGGCCGTGAGAGTCCCTGGTTTCACCCAGCCGTCCACATGATCAAGAATTCTGCGGGTTTCGGTCTTGATCTTGACATCGTAGCACACGTTGCCCCAGTGGAAGACACTGGTGGAGCCTTGGATCGTACCCTCGTTGGCAGAGGCACCCTGCCCACCCTTTTCGACAACGGCAGCAGGTCCAGAGAGAGAGGATTCGGGGTCATCCTTTCCTCTGACAGGGGCTGCGACACCCCGACGGAAGACGAGGACCTCACCCTTTGACTTCTTGGCCGCAATGTACTCCGTAGCGGTGAAGTACAAGGCGTGAAGGGCAATAATGAAAGCAATGAGGATGCCGATGTTGCGCCACTTGTGTGAGTTGAAGTACTTGTACTGAGAGTTGATGTACCTGTCGCCGTTGACAAAAGGTTCGCCAGGAATGGCACCGACGGTAGAGCAAGCTCTGTTGGCCAGAGTGATGTTTTCATAACCCGCAACTTTAGGACTCGGGACGAAAGCAGCACACTCAAAGTCCCGGTTGTGAAACTCGTTGATCATGAGCTGTAGGGCGCAGATGTCAGTCAGTGTTCTTTGAGAGTGCTCGAATTGCAGCTTACCGATTCAAATCCGTACGCGACAGGGTCCAAGTAATTGATCCATCGGCACCAACCGAGCATGTAGTCAACAGGAATGACGAATCCAGTGAAAATGACCAGAGCAAGAATCAAGATCGATGCGGGGACCATGGCCTGCGACAACGTGCGGGACAAGGAGGCGCTAATTGATGTTAGGCTCATTCGTGCTATGGGAAGAAGATGACTTACATTGACCTGAAAAGACCCGACATGGAAAGCACCATGAGGAATGTGGTTAAGAGGAAGAAGAAAAAATTGCCCGGCTGTCTGTTCAGGTTCGTCATGAAGTAGATGATCAAGTCGTAGCAGATTGTATTCGTGATTTTGTATGGCATGTCCACCAAGACCGAGGAGAAAGCTTCGGCCGAGGAGTGATAGAATGCGTAACGTCGCTGCTTCTCAACGATGGGCCGTTGGGCGTATTGGGTGAGAATTTCGAGGGCACTGGAGAATGCATTGGCGAGAATAGCGACGAAGAGGACCGCAGATCGACTGTAGAAGGAGGACGTGTTGTTCGGGAGGTTGTAGAACAGAGAAGACATGATGAGAGCCGTGCATGAATTGGAAATCAGTGAGAAAAATGTCAGACTAGGGTCGCCCTTGAGGAGCTTGAAGCCACGCCAGAGACATAGCTTCACTTGCTGCCCGTACGACAGGATGAACGGAGACTTGAGGCGCTGGTTCTTCGCTTGAACCGACTTCTTCTGGTTTCTGAAGACTTCGGCATCCGGGCCATCGAGAGGGTGGTCGGCCTTGTACTGTTCGATCTGCTGCTTGAGAGCCACGGACTCGCGGCTGTCTTTCCAGCAAGCAGCGAATTCATCGGGCGTTCGAGGTACGCGAGATTCCCATCCAGGACGAATGACACGCTCGGTAGGTGCTGTCATCGAAGTGAGGAAGTCGGGGGTCGTCTGACGGGCAGGGCACTCGAAGCCGAGGTTAATGAAGTACTGGCGGGCTTCGGTAGTAGGCCCAAAGAATATTTGACGGCCCTCGTAGAGAACAGCAACCTTGTCGAACAGATCATAGGCACTTTGCGGCGCCTGGTAGATCGAAACGGCACAAGTCTGGCCGAACAGGTCCGACTGTAAGCGGAGGGTCTTGCAAAACTCGACGGCGTTCGCAGAGTCGAGGCCTCTAGTTGAGTTATCCCAGCATTGCAAAGGAGCATTCGACAACGTCGCCTCGGCAATCGTCACACGCTTGCGCTCACCGCCAGAAACACCGCGGACATAGTTGTCACCCACGCGGGTGTTGACTGTGTGGCTGATGCCGTACATGGCCATGACGACGTCACGGAGATGGTTGCAGTACTGGTTGGCGGTGACACCGGGAGGCAGGGTTCGTGGGCAGCGCGCACGGGACGCGAAAGTGAGGGTATCGCCCACAGAGAGTTGAGGGTAGTGAACATCGACTTCGGCAGTGTAAATGGCGTCACCGGCGTGGTGCTTGTGGAGTTCCTTTGCCGAAAGACCCTGGTAGTTAAAGTAGGCACGCTCATCGGTGTAAATGCCGTTCATCTCTCCAGCAATGGTCTTGAGGAAGGTAGAGCAGCCAGATCCTGGGGGTCCAAGAACGACGAGCATCTCCCCTGCCTCCACAATACCGTTGAAGTCGCGCAGAATATCGATGCGGCGCTGGCCTCCAGTCTTTGAGGTAAGGTTGCGAACAAGACCAGGGATCTCGAGCCAAACATTTCCGACATCCTTCTGGTAGTCCGTTTCTTGGCCGAATCCGAAGACATTCAAGTCCTGGTAGACAAAGCCGGCAGTTCGATATCCAGATCCGTGCTCGTTGGTGACGTTGGCAAGAGTTCTAGCCCACTTGCGAGCGCTGAAGTTCTTTCCGTTCGGGTTGAGGGGTGAATTGGGGTCCTCGCTGCCGAACAAGGCCATGCTGTCTCCATCAAGGTTGACCGCGGAGTGCCGTGTGTACTCCCGAGCCAGTTCTTGCACAATGGACTGGCGACGATCCAGTTCTGTGTCGTTGCCGTCGTCGTCCGAGGTTGATGCCGCGGATCCATGACCGACCTCTTCGAACAGAGAGTTGCCTTCGGTGGACTTGGAAGTTGGTGGTGCTTCCGCGTTTTGGGTGTAGATCGCATCGTGATCGACGACTGTCTTCTGGCTGCCGACCGGAGAACGGCTTGGCACACGAGACTTCTCGTCCGAGCTGTATGGAGCGGACATGTTGTCAGTTGGTGAATTAAGGTATACGGGTGTTCTGAGGACTGCTGGCTGATGGAGCGGTTGCAAGCCTATCTTGCTATCCTAGAAATCGAGAATCACCCCGTCAGTCCACTAGCACTCTTCCTCATATGGCTCGTGTGGAAACTTACCGATCAGCATCAACCAGTTGTTCGCTCGGCTTGTCGTGATAGCCGTAGAGGGAACAGAGCAGTCTCAGCCAGGTGAAAAGAAAGAGAAGATTATCTTAAATAGCGAGAGTGTGAAGGGGAGATGAGCCGATGTAATAGTAATAGGATTTGGCTGGAGATTCAAAACACCTCATGTAAATTAGCCTAGGTCTAGATTTATCAACACGTCAACGGAGCGTCTCGCTCCCCGTGTGTCCCCTGCCCATCGTAGGCAAGGGGTCCATCTCAGCATCCGAAGGCGCAAATGTCGATCCAGGAGCCCGGATCATCCGTGCACCAGATATGCCACAAACTGACAAGTTGACGTAGAACCACGTTAATTGAGCCTGGTCTGGGCATGGTCTGGGCATTCAAATTCTTGCATCGTGTCCTGGTGTGCATGCTCTGGCAGCTCTGCAGCCGGCGTGTAAGTGATTAGAGTGGGTCGATAGCGGCCGCTCCCCTGGCGGCGATCCCCAGGAAAAAGCCCGCAACTTTGTCAGAGAGTCGGAGGTGTGGGGCGGTCTCCATTGTACGGGCTTTCGGAAAGTTCAAGTGCCCCGAGCGGGCGCCGTCGACCCCGTACGCTTTTCCGAGACGTCCAACTTCCCCAACATCTAAAGACGGCCTATGTCCAGCCCAAAATGATCACCTCTTTGTTCAATCTTTATTTTGGCTATAGTGCCGCACCTTGTTTCCCCGGCTTCTCATAAGACCAACACCAAGATCAAGACCAACACCCGCGCCCCTCTTTTCTTATTTTTTTTTCTTTTTTGACTACATGCAATCACGAAATGGTCCACAGCACCAATAACACCGACATGGCACGACCACCACTGGCACTGGCACTGGCACATGACTCGAATCAAATACCAAAATGCACCCGCCTCCTAGAACGATGTGGGCTCCGAGGAATCTTATAGTTTCTCCCACTTTTCACCCTGTTCGCCCTGTTCTTCGTTACATCCACTTACATCGAATCTTCAGCCTACCCACGAGCAACATCGGACGACATTGTTGGTCAGGAAATACATGTACCAATCCGAAACGGGAAGCATGTCACATCTGGTGACTTTCAAGAGTTCGCAGTTATCACGGCATGCCCCATTCCTTTTGACGAAAGTAGCCAATTGTGCCGCCAAGGCGGACTGCTGCTTATCTGCAGAGTACTGGCTCCAGTCTGGTGGCTCGTCGGGGTCCGCTTGCAAGACCGCTGTCAGCACCCTACCTCGTTTGTGAGCTGTATTACCGCCGCGGACTGTGCATATGTGGAGTCTTCGGTCTTCTTGTTCGGGACAGCCACAAGGAATTCAAGTCCAGTCCCGGAGTCGTCCCGCCCGATCAGACATCAATCTTGTCGTATGGCTCATGTTAGGTTCGCCCACCTCCCTCGTCTCCACGCAAATCTCTGCAACCATAGGACGGACCCAGGGATCGTTCGTCATTGCCACAAGCTAGCGGAGGGAGAGGGTCCTAATCCCGAGGCATCGAAATAGCTTCATCTGCGGCGCCACAACGGCAAATCACAGTTCAAACCCACCACCAGGAGGTGGTCTCCCGGCGGCGGCATAGCTGGAGTGGATGCCAGCAGGGTCGAAACCCCTTCGATTGGCCTCTCTTCACATCCACAGTTTCTAGAACCTGCCGTCTTGGTCGACGCCTTGTTTGTGACGCTAGCATCCTAATGGCTGCGCCTGGTCCTCTGGTGGTGTTAACAAGATTCAGGAGACTGCAGGACTCCATTACACACCACAGCCCTGTCGGCCACCTCCTTTCACCCGACCCAGCGATGTAGGAGACGGTTCACGGGCGATGCGACGGCATTGCAGTGCGCAAGCGGGAGTTACATCGCCAATCTCCTCGACCGAACGGTGTCCGACGCGGCAAGTAACGCCAAGCTGTACAAGCACGTCTTCCACAAGGTTCGCTAAAGATACGAGGGGGGCCGCACATCAGCCTCAGGGGGGTTACAATCTGTTCCCCTTTGAAGCGACAACTTGAGAAGGATACTTGATAAGCTCACCTCTAACGTTGCGGTTCTCTGTCCAGTGACACACCCAGCAACTTCGATGATTCTTCGTCCAATCATCGTTGCTGAGCCTTCAGGCCAGGAGTACCCCCAAATTTCAAGGCCCACGCTCCTTACTCGCCGTCTCACAGTCCCACTGTTTTCCTCAATTCTCTGATGAATTCGGAACCAGAGCAACCAAGCAAGCAAATTAATTATGAGAACATGCAGCACAAAAATTGGAATTACAAGGGATTGTAAGCAGGCCTTGCTCTCGAGTACAACTTTGCAGAGAGAGTCGAGGTGCTACAGCTCTTACTCGCGTCGCAGCGCAAACACTTCGAGAGCCTGTCTAATGTGTTTTCATACAATCAAGATGATCTTGACTAATATCAACAACCGAAGCCTGCCGCCAAGTTGGTCGATTTAGTAACGCTTTCGACGAGAACTTCCAAGCGGAAAGGAAAGATGAGGATTAGCAAGCCAACATAAAGAGGACGTTTTATGACTCTGCAAAGAAAACGATCAGACAAGGGCAATGCGAAGCAGCAAACAATCTTGCCGATACATGGGGAGCCTCGGAAAGGCCCCTGAAATCCACCACCACAGGGCGTTTCCTGACATCGTTCCATCATCAACCCCTTTCACATCCACATTTTAGCGCAGTTTGGACTTTTGCTCCCTCCTTTTTCCCTTCCGCCATTTATTGATAACCCTTTCATCCTCCCGAGTCGTTATTGCCTTGTTCAGCAGCCGACAGGCAGCGGTTCAAGACATTCATGTTGCTCTGTCAAATACCAGCAGCGCTCGTGTAAGTTTCCCATAGAAGGACGCTGGAGCCGCAGTAAAACAGAATCTTGCAAGTGTTGAAACCCTCTTGAACGATCTAAAGTGTGTTCCAAAAGTTTTCTTCAAAGAGGGAGACGACGGCAGAAATTTCAATTTTTCCTGTTGCCGATGAGATGGGTGGTGTGAGCCCCCAAAGACTTGTGAGTATATCACTCCTATCTGCTTCAGGTCCCAACCAGATGGCCACGGACTCAGCCACATTGTAGATCTTGATCATGAGCTGGATCTGTTGGGTTTTCTCAGTGGTATTTTGTTCGTCATTGCAGATGGCGTCTGTCTATACTAACATTGCGTTCTGTTCCTGCTGAAGTAAAGTGCAATTTATGCACCATGGAAGCTAGAAGATACCGATGTCCCTTTATTTTTAACTTCAACGTCTCTTGGTTTGAAGTCTCACGTTTTCTCCCAGGCGTAAGGGATTGCCACGTAGTTTAGAAAATCTGTGATCGATCTTTGAACTATTTCGATCTTCATTTTGGACATTGTGTTTCGAGAATTCTGACCAGTCTAAATTGTCCCGGGTCAAGCTTTTCGTATCGGCAGGCCTTGTCACCAAGACTCCCGGGCTTGACAGGAAATTGCGACTTCTTAGACGACGCTTCAGGTCCGCCCACACGAAAGATGACTCTGTTCCCACTTGAGGGCCCTACAGCTCCCACTGCCATCCCATGATTTGGTGCTGCTGTTACTAATCCCGTAACAGCGCAAGCGTTGCCTTCGACCGAGTACCTAAAGATGTACCCATCCTTCTGTCGGACGTCAAATTCGACGTCGGTGCACGGGTAGTACCGGGGGCACTCAGCGAGAGTGACGGTTCATTGAACTGGAAGGACGGCTGTGACGGGGATGGGAAGTCTTCGCCCCCCATCCCATCACAAGTCAAGAGCCGACTTGTTGGGTAGGTACGTTTGAGGACAGCCGGGTCAGTGGCGTCGGAGTGACAGAACTATATGTGTACCTTTGATGCTTAAAAACATTTGGGAAGCTTCTCTTTTGTATGCGCATGGCACAACTGTACAAGTACGAACTAAGCAAGATCGCTGTTGTCTTGGGAATAGGTGGTGAGCGTAACGTCACGTGACCCGATACGACGACATCCCTTTAGATTAACTATAGCCGTGCGAAATTGTACTATTATAGTAATAAGTCTCCAATACTAATGCATTTTTAATTTAAAATGTTAGAACTGGCGGGTTCTTTGGTTATGGCGACCGATGCGTAATATTTAAAATCACCCTCCCAACGACTCACTGACCGTGGTTTGGGCTTTAAGTGCAATTGCCATGAACGCCGGATTTTGGGCGACTCAGCTTGGACGTAGTTTCGTTTTAGAAATAATGGGAGGGCAAGTCCTCATAAAATCTAGGCTCAAAGCAAAATATCTCAATGAAAAAAGGGGCTAGGGGACAGGCATCCAGAACCAGTGTAATACCAAGTACATCCCGGCCTCGTCAAAAGTCGTCCAATAGACTCTTCAAAGCCACGGGGAAGGATAAATATGGCCCATATGCACTTAATACTCCTGTAAGGAGCTATACGCATCATTAAGCGATGGAGAAAGATCGGACCGTCCTCGAGCAACCCTCAGAAACGGCGCTTACGAGGAGAAGAGAAAAGGAAGGTTATCGGCAAGAGAGACGACGAATGAATGTGATCGGGAAGGATCTGTCCCATTATCCTCTTTGCTCCGGTATCTTCGAAGTATCTTTCTTCTCTCCCTAGGTCACCTTGGTCTTTTTGCGTTGAGACCATGACGATCAAATACCACCCTGACACCACGCCCTCCTTAAAGCACTCCTGCAACCAACCATCACGAGTCATCCACACACAAATGGGTCGTCCATCGGGCCTTTTTTGCCTGGGGTATCATCAAGCAAGCGAAACGTGCGATTCTGCAAGGTTGAAGGTGAGTTGCCGCCATTCGCAATCTGCTGTCAATAGCCTCAGGCAATCTTGGAAAGAATGCCTCCCGTAACTTACGCCAAGACTACGAACCTTGAACTACAGCGTTGTAGATTAAAAGCGAGCAATATCGTAGCTGGACTTGAGAGCAAAGTTCGGAGACTATAGGGCCACTGTCACTGTCTGCTGAATTAGTGACATAAGGTTACTTGAAGGATATATTTATAGCGAGATATATCAACTTAACTCGTGGTTGTTATGGTCAAACGGCGGAAAGTGACCTTTAGGAGATATGTGCTGAGGTTAGAGGTGCGCCCGAGGCAGGTTTATGAGGCTCTGTGGTCCTACAGCTCTCGCCTAAGCTATACTTAAAATAAGGAAGAGTACATATGTTGTAAAAGTAGATTAATTGATGCTTCCGGGTAGGCATTCATTGAATAACATAGTTGGTCTGTTGTAACCTTAAACTTTGCCAACTTTTCAAAGGTCATGGGTACCAATCGCACATCTTGCGCTTTTTCTTTTCTCCTACAAGAAAGAATGATGCTCTTTGGTTTATGCCTCCAACCGCTATATTGCTCAATTTAAATCCCGCGATTTTCTTCTCCGAATTATTGGAAGACTCCGGTCTTCAGCACCATATCCCCGACAGATTACAAGACAACTTCACCTCAACCTTCATCACTCTTTCCCACCTTCATCCTTTACGGACCAAATCACCAGAACCTTCGACTACATGTCGGGTGTTTTTAATTTTATCTCTGAATCTCGAATCTAACCTGTGCACAGTGTATTCCAGCTCTCTCACCCTCGCTGTCATCCTCTGTGCAGCTCAGGCGCTATTGCCTAGAATCAGACGAAGAACAAGTACAAGTGCTTACTACGTGCTTTTCGCTTCTTTAACCAATAAGATCTAAAGAGCCTCAATAAGCCCTAAGCTTCCACTGTGTCTTTACGGAAGAAGGCATCTTGTACACCAAGAGGCTGAAAGCATCACCTCTAGGACTTTCAAGAATTTAATGTAAGCGGCTAATAGATTAATTGTATCAATGTAGTCTTGGCGAACTCATAGGTGAGCTTACAAAGAGGTTCGCTATATTTATATTTATATGGTTCTCATTCATTTACAACAGCATCAGCGAGCTTTAGGCGGCTTTGCCCCCCCAAAAAAAGAGCATACGACCCATCAGTCCTTGCTTGAGGTATAATCAGACCGTATAGCTGGGACGCTGAAAAGCACCAAGGAGTCATTATTTCGATAAATAAAACGAGTTTCATTACACTAAATCCACATGCTATAGAATACCTGCCATCGGCAATTGTCATTGTATGACCGTCGTAGCAGCAACCGACTCATAAGCCTTCAAACAGCTCATGAAGTAAATCAGACCCCTAGAAATCGGTCGAAGCAGAGATCGGCTCCCACTCATTGAGAAGAGAAATAGTGCTCTTACACTTTTCGCGAATAGTAGCGAGGCAGTCAGTGCCTAAGACCAGCCTCGGAGGAATCTCACGTCCTTCAGCAACCCCAGACTTGGTCATGACGTCCACCACTACGCGCGCGCCCTTGATTGGGTCGCCGGGCTGGTTGTTGTCGACAGTCTCCAGCAATTTCCTGACTTGGCCCGCCGAGCTCTCGTTATATGCACCAACGGACAGCTCAGCCTTGATGCGAGCGCCGGGGTTCAGGAACCCGGTACGGAAGTAGCCCGGCTCGAGAGCGCAGACATCAACACCAAACGGCTTCAACTCATCGTAGAAGCCTTCGGTTAGCATACTGACAGCCGCTTTAGTGGAGCAGTAGAGAGCAAAAGCTGGGCCGCCTTTCCAACTGCCAAGGCTACCAATGTTCACGACGACACCGAAACGTTGGGCGCGGAGGTGGGGAGCCGCTGCGCGGGACACCTTGAGAGTGCCGAGGACGTTGGTGTTGAACTGGTCAAAGACTTCCTGGGCGTTGGCCTCCTCGACGGTGCCTTCGAGGATGTAGCCGGCCGAATTGACGACGTGTGTCACTTTCCCGTGGAGGGCAAAGGCCTTGTTGACCGTTTCTGTCACTGTAGTCTCGCCGGCGGTGACGTCCAGGGAGAGGAGGTCGGCGCCTGCGGAGGCCAGTTCAGAGAGCTTTGCTGGGTTGCGGGCTGTTGCAATGACGCGGTGGCCGCGCGAGAGAGCTTCTTTGGCGATGGCGAGGCCGAACCCCGAGGAGGCGCCAGTGATGAACCAGACGGGGGAGTCCATTTTGGGGGACAAAGAGCTTTGTTAAATTGAGATGACAGAGTTTTTATTGATGGAGGAATAGAATTTATGATAGCTGCTGCTGTTGCTAATCAAGTAGAGGCAGGCGGCAGGCGGCAGGCGATGATAGAGTTATGATGACAATGAAGCATCACATCTGAACAGCGGCAAACAGTCTGTCTCTTATAGCCTGGCTGCTTGAATCCTTGATCGCTTGAACATTATGGCCGAAAGAGCAATCATCCTCCTGCATGTCAGATCCATAGAACTCGTTCATCGTTCAAGCCACTCTCCGTTAGATGCATCGTAGTGGCCTATCGCTGACCTGTACGACACGGAGATTAGCATCAAAGGTCCATGCCAAGTGATGCCAAAGGTTCCGTGCTGCGATTAGGTTCTTGCTGTCCAACTTGAGGGGTCGGATCGCGGCCAGTGGTCAAGAGATGCTTCCCAGTGGTGATGGCCGGGACCTGGGGGTTAACGCCGAAGGATTGTGGGGAAGCTGCCGACCTTCGGGGATAGGTGATGTGGCCCATCCGTTGGAGATTACAATGCATGGACTCGGACTAAGGTAAGACTAGGGGTCCTTCGTTGATTGGATCTCGCCATCGACCAGTCTTTTGCGAGCTGACATTGACTAGATACCTCAAAGAATGTTTGCGACAACGACTTGGCAGTGTCAAGTGCAAAAGCGATGTTGACAACCCCAGAATTCCTCTAGCGTCTCCCAGGCGGCGTGTGGAGCGGTGGATCTGGCTCCGTGAGTGGAGCCTCCCTCGGCATATTTCCACCTCGACCACTCTATGCCCCGACCGCTCGGCGGGTACTTCGCGGGACCTGAGTCGCATTGCATCTCAGGGTCTTTGACTGCACACATTTCTCCCCGCCCAACATGGCGATCGCAACCTGACCACCTTGCGCAATAGAAGCCGTCGGGCGCTACCTATCAATACCCAGATCATAAACCCGAGAAGCATGAGCCTGCTGCGCCCGACCTGGCCACCGTCACAATGGGTCTTCTGACCTCCCTCCCGAAGCTCCCCCTCGTCGGGTCGATCGTCATAGTTCTCTGCTCGCTCTTCACCCCCGCGACCGCCTACACCGAACTCGGCGACGAGGCTCTCCGCGCGATCCCCTCGGGTGGCGATGGTTTCAATATCGACACCGGCTCGCTGCTGGCCCCCATCCTGATCCCCCGCGTCCCTGGCACCCCGGGTTCGCTCAAGGTACAGCAGCACTTTGTCGACTTCTTCCGCGCGAACCTGCCCGAGTGGATTATCGAGTGGCACAACTCGACTTCCAAGACGCCCGCGACCGGAGATAAGGAGATACCCTTCACGAACCTCATCTTCCGCCGTGACCCACCGTGGGCCAAGGGCGGAGACGTCGAGTATCTGACGCTCGTCGCGCACTATGACAGTCTGTACCACCCGGAAGGGTTCATTGGGGCGATTGACAGTGCGGCGCCGTGCGCGATGCTGCTGCACACGGCCAGGAACATTGAGGAGGCTCTGGTGAAGAAATGGGAGGCGATGGAGGCATCGGGCGACGCTGGGAGCGGGCTGGAAGAGGAGAAGGGAGTCCAGATCATCCTACTTGACGGAGAGGAGGCATGGGTGTCGTGGACTGACACAGATTCGCTCTACGGAGCTAGGTATGTCTAGTGAATCCCTGAGCGACTAGTCTGTCTGTCTAACATCCTCTAGGGCACTTGCCGAGAGCTGGGAAAACACTGTTCACCCCAACGCGCTGTACAAGACCTCCCTTTCGTCCATCAGTCTCTTCCTCCTCATCGATCTCCTTGGCGCCCCTAATCCCCGGATACCGTCTTACTTTCCGTCCACCCACTGGGCTTACAAGAAGATGGCAAAGATCGAACATCGCATGCGCCAACTGGATGTCCTCGAAACCAAACCGAAGCATCCTTTTCTGACGGATAGGAACAAGGAGAAGGTCGGCTTCGGTGGCGGTTATGTCCTAGATGATCATGTGCCGTTCTTACAGCGCGGAGTCGAGATCCTGCACATTATCCCGACACCGTTCCCCGACGTATGGCATAAGATTGAGGACGACGGTGCGCATCTGGACCTGCCGACAGTGCGGGACTGGGCGCGCATCCTGACCGTTTTTGCGGCAGAGTGGATGGAGTTGGATGAGCAACTACCCAAGCAGATAGAGAGTGAGGTTGCTAAAGAGTCGAGCGAAGGTAAAGACGAGCTATAATTCTTTCTATTTGAAATGACGCATGTAGACCGTATAGACAGCATCCTGGTTTCGCGATCTCATAGTAACAAGTTCGATGCATGGCCTAGAATGGGTATCATCATATTGTAACGAACCGTTGGGTCTCCCCCAGATATGACACTCACTGGACAGAGTGCGAATCCTATTCCTTACGACTCCTAATATTAGGTAACGATAACGAGTTTTCAGCCATTGTATATGGGGCTATAGGCCTCAAGGCTGATTGAATGGTAAGTCTTACGTAGTGTCATCTTGCCAGTTTGATCGAATGCTGAAGAATAAGGTAATTGAGGAAGGCACCATTATGTGTACTGTACATAAGACAGTGCGAATATTAAGGGCACGGCTTGCAGGGTCCCGCAGTACATGGCCCGTGCACTATCGGTAGTTCGTAATGGACACGAAAGCTGTCCATAAGTGAACACCGGCGATACGAAGCTCCCCAGCCCAAGCTGAAGCTGCCACAGACAAGCACCCTCAGCTGTACAATGCGATTCCTCAACTCTCTGACGCCAGCCCTTGCGCTGTTCGCGGCCGGTGCCGCGCAGGCCGCCTCATCATGGGATTTCGACAGTGCCACCGTCTCAATTACTGGCAAGGGCAAGGATGCCACCAAGGAGAAGTGAGTTGGGCCGTTTACGCTTTCTGAAGCTCGGGGGAAGGAGGTTTCTGTGAATGAGCATATTGCAAGAGATCCCCAATTGCTAACGAATAGCCCCGCCCGACAGGTTGAGCGCGACTTCTCCCCTCAAGACTGCTCTCTCTCTTGGAGCCAAGGACACTCTCAAGGTCGTCTTGACGGCCAAGGAGGGTGACAAGGCTAAGCGCCCGCACCAGGCCTTCCTGATCCTCAAGGAGATCGAGTCTGGTCTCGAGGCCCCCTTCCCCCTTGAGCTGAAGGACACCGGCCGTGGTGTTGTCGACATTGTACGTCCCCATGCATTTTCCCTCACTCTCCTCGACTCCTTAATGGCAGGGCAGCACGGCTAACTCCCATGAACAACAAAGGCCCAGAAGGACCTCCCGGTCCAGCTCCTCCTCGCCAACGAACCCCTCAAGGCCAGCATCGTTATCGGCTCCTTCGGCGCCTCGAAGGCCCTCGACACCACTCTTTTTGACGTCTACGTATCCCGCGACGCCAGTGTCGCCGCCCCGACCTACGACGCTCCCCTTCGCTACGGCAAGCAGCCTGAGATCAACCACATCTTCCGCGAGGACCCCCGCAGCCCTCCCAAGATCATTTCATTGGCCTTTGTCATTGCCGTCCTGGCCACGATTCCCGTCCTCCTCATTGGTGTAAGTTTTGCGCCGTCCTCTCCCTGTTCCCGATTGTGAAGGAGGACAGTTTGTTCTGTACGTTGTGGGCGTAACATTGACTAACTAAACCCAACCTGCAGTGGCTCTCCCTCGGCGCCAACGCCAATCACCTCCAAAAGGCCCTCGGCGCCGCGCCCCTCTCTCACGTCGCCTTCTTCGGATCCATTGTGGCCATGGAGGGCGTCTTCTTCATGTATTATAGCGCCTGGACCCTCTTCCAGACCCTGCCTGCCGTCGCCATTGTTGCGACCTCCATCTTCCTCAGCGGCACCAAGGCCCTCGGCGAGGTCCAGAGCCGCCGTGTCTCTGGTCAGAGGTAAATGCTTCCTTGTAGGAGCATCACTTTCTTCAAGGGGAACGAAACAAGGTTCGTTCACACTTCTGTGGATGGGGCCTTAAGGCAAAGGGGAAACTACATTCTGCTCGCCAGAACATGCCAGGGCGAAGGTTTGGGTCTCGGCACAAAAATAAGGGGGCCCAGGATGGGGCGTGAAAGATAGAGGCCCCTATTGTACATCAGCGTCGTCACGACAGCATCTGGGCATCGGTGAATTAGATAGAGACCACGGATCAAATAAAAAAAGGCTATTCTCGAACCTAGAAATGACAATCAGACCGTATAAGGTAACCTAACGCCACGCTCGCTCTAATCGTTGAACGTAAAAGAAACCAACCATCCAACATGATACAAATAACAACAATGTCTTTAAGCCTTCTCCTGGCCGTGCTTCTCATCGCCATTCCCCAAAACCTCCACACTTCGACTTGCCTCAATACCCGTAGAAGACGAAGAAGGCCCCGCAGCGGAGTATGCAGGCGGCGGTACATTGTCGCCGGTAGAAGCCCGCCTCCTCTCGTGCTGCCACTCCTCGACGCCCTCCTCTTGAACACCAGACGGTCCACCGCGGGACATGTTGTTGTAGTATCGCTGCTGCTGCTGCTGCTGCTGCTGGTGGTGGTAGGGCCCAGCAGCCAAGAACCCAGGGGAAGCATCGTATCCAAGACGTCCCCATCTACCGCCGCCCCGCTGCTGCGCCCTCATGGCGTAGATGACGGCCCTGCGCTCATCCAAGGCCGCTCTTCTGTCGCGCCTCGCCTCGCGGCCCTTGCCGAAGGGGAGAGCGACCTTGCAGATGCCGCAGGGTTGGCCGTCCGGGCCGGTGTGGTAGCCGTCGTGTGGGCCGCCGGCGCCGGCGGCAGAATCGACGGTAGTGACGGGGGATTGGTTGTTGTGGTTGTGGCTGTAGGGGTTCCGGCCGGCGGCGGCGTGGACTACGGTTGAGACGAGGCCGGTGATGAGACCCATGGCTGTATGTAGTGCGTTGCTTTGGTTTTTGAGGTTGGGTGCTAGTGAGCTTGGTGATGGACCTTGAGGTAGGTTGTGGTTTTTGGACGGACAGTTAGCGGTTAGGAATGTATGTAGTGATATGCTTCAAGGTAGACTTTAACGTTGGTGTATGTGAGAAAAGATCCTTCAAGTTCGCTGTCTGATAAGTGTCTGATGCTTGGTGATGCTTGATGCGTCTGGTACTCTTTCAAATCCAAATTTCCAATTCATCAGGAACCTCTTCCCCTTATATCGATTTCTTCCAACCACAGTAACAATGCAGAAGGAGAGCACTGCCCGGTCATTCCCATCTCACAAGGCCATGCCGGCGCCCCCCAACCTCCCCCCATTGGGAAACCGATTCGAAAGCGTTCCCCCCCAGAGCCCAGAGGCAAGCAACGCAGGATAAGACAGCAGTGAAGGTCCTGCCAAGCCACGGCGGCCCATGTGGGGCGGACCGGCACCGTCCTGCCGGATCAGCCCAAGCAAAGCACCCCAAGCGGCCTCACGAACACCGGCTCCTTCGACCAAAGGGTTGGGCTCCTGCAGTGCTGCACTCCTTCGAGTTCTCGAATCACCCTAACTGGAGGGCTGAGCCACTCACTGGAGACTACTGAGGGAGGGGGAATAGTACCATGTCAGCATCGTTCGCACTCGTCTAAGCGACCAATGAAGTCTGAGTATGTACGATCTTAGCGTATTCAGGTACGGCGCAGCAGACGTAGTCTTGGTTAGCGTCCCGCGGGTAAGACATCCTTGAGAGCTGTGGGGCAGAGTAAATGGACGGTGTCTCCGGCCAAATATGAAGTACACCAGCAGCAAGAAGCATGCTCGGACACAGAAGCAGCTACAAATGCGAATGCGGAGGGAAGAGAAAAGCAGGTATGTCCAGAAGGGAGGCCGGTGTAACCGACCGGCGGCTATGCCATGCGTGCGTAGATACGGGGAAAGACTTCTTCGTCTGTACTCATATCCCCTTCCCCTCCAAAAAGAAAAGACAACTAACTAGCCAAAATGACTTCATATCATGCATGTCTTCATCGCCATCTCTCATGCCGCTGTTGATCGTACGTTCCGTTGGACGCCGCTACGAGCTCCCACCACGCCCGCATCAAAGCCATTCCGCCGTTCTGCGTCTCCGAGGTCCTACCCCGGCCGCGGTCGTTCGGATCGCCGGTCGCCGCCGCCGTCTTCACTTGCTGTGCAAACCCGTCTCGGTCATCGGAGCGAGGCCCCCTTCTGCTTGAGCCACCAAGAACCTGCTGTCCAGAGTGCTCCTCGTCGCCGACCAGCTCGTAGCTCTTTGTCTGGTTCTTGCGCGCCTCGCCGTTTGGTGCCCAAACCTTGTCCGGGTTACCATGGGCCCATACGCCGTCATGCGGGAGCCCGTAGTTGCGGTAATCGGTCACATTGGGTGCGTCGTGAGGAATGCCGTCCGTCTGCATCGTCGGAACGGTATTCAAGAAAATGCCTGCTCCCCACCATGTACCGAATCGACCTTCTCTATCCCTGGTCAACAAGGCCGCTTTGGCATTGTGCTCGACCCATTTCAGATAGGCCTGGCAGGCCGATGCATGGGTCGTCTTGGCCTGCTCGTACGCCTCAGCGTCGAGAGTCATGCCTTGCCCAATGATGGCAGCTTCGAGTGGATGGCAAAATGTTACAAAATGATGGAAGAATATGCCCTTGAAGGCTTGCCCGTCCTGAGAGCAAGTCGCGCTAGCATCGCAGATTTCTTCCATGACACCTCCACGGCCCAGTCCGCGCCAAGGGGGCAGATAACCTGGCGGGAGATCTGACAGGTCGTCGATTGGCTGATTGAGCTTCAAGTCCCAGCCTGAGGCCTTGATAACGTTTTGGATCAGCCTGTGCCCATCTTCCAAGTACGAAGCACTGCCTGTGGCGGCGAAGAGGCCTCTTTGGCCAGTCAAGAGGACGCCCTGGTTATAGGTGAAGACAGCTTCACTGCGTTGGTCGCACTTGGTGTTGCCCGGCTTGGACCTGTCGACGTGATAGCCATCAACGTAGAGACCGGCATTATTGGTCATATTGACGCCAGTGAGCCATTTGTAGCCTTCAATGGCAGCGGCGAGGTATTTGGGCTCTCGCGTGGTTTCCACACCACCTGCGTTGTTGACCCATGGTGTGGTGTTGTTGTCACCGGGGAACCATAGATACATTGAGATCGAGGCCGCAATCCAGAGTTCGTTAGTGATGGCGTTCTTATATGGTTCCAACCTCGGGTTCCAGTTCATGCCACCCTCGCAGAGTCGAGTGTCCCATCCTTTGGACCCAAGATCCCAGAAAATTCTGGCCCGATGAGCGAACGAGGGTATCCAATATTGCCCGTGCCAGGGACCGTTTGCCAAGGCATCTCCAAGACCCGGGGTCGCGCTCTCGTTGAGGCTTTCCCGGGGGTAGAAGAGCTCTGAGTGTATGTTGATAAACTTGATGGCTTCGATCCAACCGAGGACAACCCAGAGAATGTCGTCGAAAGCCTGTGTGCATATTAGTATGTGCTGCTCGGGTTGTGTTGGTGGGAGCTGGGGATCTATACCTGATGGCGGATCGCAACGTCGTCCTGGCCAAAATAAGAGGCCACCAGCTGAGTGAAAAAGGTATCAATGAGGTTTCTCTTGGCTCCTTTGTCACCATTGCCTCCGATATCGAGCACGGCCAATGCTTGCGAAAGCGAAGTCAACGTGCCTGACAGCATCGTTTCCATGACGGCAGCAGTCCAGTCGATGGCTTCGGGCCATGTTCCCTGGTCCGAGACGAAGAAGTCATGTTGCATTACAGTAAGAGCTTCAAAGGCGGCCTCGAGTGGCTCAACTTTGGCCTTGGACGTGTGAGCAGTAGCTTTTCTTTCAACTTGCGGGGTTTGTAGAAAGGTCATGGGCTGCTTCGGTTCGCAATCGATCGGAGGTTGAGCTTCGGCATAGAAAATGGGGCAAAATGACCTGGGCGCATTTGGAGGAGCCGTCGCAACGAGGGCCGGGGCGCACGAGGCCAGCACAAGCACCGAGAGGCAAGTCTCGGGCAGTCGGAGTGTTGATCGAACCATGATGGTGGTATTTGATTCCCAAAAAAAAAACCAGAAGGCAGCTTCTGTTATGATGGCGAGCAATCAGCTCTAGAAAAGGCGCCGCTCATGTGTAAAAGCGCTCTGCCATGTTCAGAAGGACGTCGCAATCGTCGAAGCGGAAATTCGACGAGGGAAATAGGCACAATGGATGGGCAAACTTGTCGAGGGCGCGCGATGAGCGAAGATGCGGAGGGTCGATGCAATGCCAAGGCCAAAGGAAAAGCTGAGGAAGGGCAAGGCAACCGGCGGCCGGGCGACATGCGGGAAAGAAGCAAGCGACGGCGCAGGGCTCTTTGGCGATGGATGGCCAGAGTCGAGGGGCAGGCCAAGCCCATTTTCGCAAGGAACCTTGGAAAAAGATCCACCTGCACGAGGCAGATGGAACCCCTCAAGTCCCCTCAAGTGGTCGCAGAATGGCGTACCGAGAGGTCACAGAGGTCGGTGGTGCAAGCGGTGGTCACCTCCCACCATCCCTGGGGAAAGGTGGCAGCCACTAGAACAAGTTCATGCGGGGCATACCTACTATGGATATGGAGGCGCCAAGACCCTGCGCTCTGTCCTGGCAGTCTGTCACTGACATGGAGGAGAAGCTGTGCTGCTGCGATCCATTACCGATACAATACGGATACCTCTAATACAGATACCCGATGAAGAAGACATGCAGCGAACACAACGGGAGCGCCAAATGTACCTTGCTCCTGCCACTACCATTGCCATGTGCCTGAAGGACTTTCTGTACACTAAGGTAGGTAGGTGAGGAGAAAGACCGTTGGTTTGGTCTTCTCTTCGAAAGGCCATGTAATACGTGCCCTGAACGAGACTACCTACCTAAGGTACCTTGGGTAAATGTGCATGAAGCGTTCCACCATACCCAGCCTCTTCAGCGGTGTAAGGAAAATGATGCCCACAATAGTCCAGCACCGCCCACAATCGGCGTGATCACTTGCCAATATCTGGCGATCAAGTTGGTGGACATGGTGATTGGCGTCTTGGGTCTTGTGCCCACGGACAGGACCAAGAGCAGCCGTCCCTCAGGCATATACGAGGCGGTAATAAGAGGCGCCTCAGTATCGAAACAACATCTCCCTGGCCAAGGTACAGACGGAGATGTCTCGGGTCATGGGACTGGACTGCGAGGTAGGAATGGAAGACGAGGGCCGTTGAAGAGTGCTTGGGCGAGTCGTGGGGAATGCATCACTAGGGTGAAACGGACTGAGTCGGCTGGTTGTAGATGCGTTGAGAGGTGCTCGACCGTGCTAGAATCTGTCTCAACTACGGCTGCTAAGCGACTTTTGGTGTGAGCGATAGAAGGGTCTTCCCGTTCCTCACGTTGGTGTCTTATTCAGCAGCACGACTAGCGGAAACTCTACTGCCTCCCACGTGCCTACCTAGCGTGCCGGGGTTGAGAGGCCTCGAGGGCGGCGACGACTCGCTCGGTGAGTGTAAGTGTAAGTTGACAAGTCGAGGATAGCTGACGTAATGGCACACAAAGTATCCCATGCTACCTTACGTACCTTTTTAGAGGTGGTTTGAGCATATCCACGGTCCTAAGATGCAAATGAACATAAACGTACCCCAGAATCCAAACAAAAATGACTCGGAAACAAATTAATTTTTTTTAAAAAATAAAAATGAAAATAAAAAGAAAAATAAAAAAAGAGGAAGAGGGAATGGAGAGAATCGTCTGTCTATTTGCCATCACCGTGTTTTAAACCCGTCTTTTTGCAGACAAAAGAGCGCGTTTCTTTGTCCCGCGCAGGCCAACCAGCACGCGTTTCCATTTGCAGACGGGAGGCTGGCTGGCTAGGTACCTTACTTCAAGTTCCATGTTAGTGATGATTCGCTGAGCAAGGGCACTGAGCTGGGCCTGGGAGGCAGGGCTGCCCCACTAACATGCACTGGCGCCCACGGCCAATCGCCAATTGTTTACGCCTGCAGCTCCGAAAGTAAACAAACCAATCCCTGCACTTCCACACTGGGACGCTTCTTCCTTCTCCATCTCTCAAGCTGCTCGCGAGCTTTATCGTACATCACAGCTTCTGGCTTTCGTCCTGCCATTGTGCGCACTTTTATGCCTTGAGCAGCTTTCTCTTGCTCGGTATTGCTTCTGATCAGTCTTACCATTGAAGTGTCTCCGCGACATTGGCTATTCGACGCGTCGCCTATAGCCATCGCGGCGCCATTTTGAATCTACTTTTTCTCTTCGACTCCCGTCCTGCACACCGCGCCCGACGCGTCCCAGGGCAGTCATGGAGGCCGACTTAGCACACAACCGCTATCGCTCTCGCATTCTGCGAGAAATGAACGCAAACCGCGACAATCCATTCAACTCTCCGCCTTCCTCGACTGGCTCACACGGCACCGTCAGCCCGACCATGTCCTCCGTCTTCTCAGAACCTGACGGTGAATCCACCCGCAGGCTCAACGAAGACATTGCTCGCATAATCGGTCCTACCGGTGGGAAAATTCAAGTCGACTTGGATGCTGCCCACCGCAAGTGGCCCGAATTCTATGGCAAGCCCAAGGCCAGCGTCGAAGCAAAACAGAACCACCCCGCTCCCAAACCCATCGGTTCATTGCGTCGCAAGGACACCGTCTCCCACAAGGCCATTGTCCAGAAATATCTCTCCAACATGGACGACGACGACTCGACGGATATGACTTGGCAGGGTTCTAAGCGGACGCGTGCTGAAATGCAGCCCCGCGTTGAGGACAACGAGTCCGACATGTCGGCCAACATGTCCAAGTCGCCTTTTCGATTCGATATCAATGCCGATAGCTTCAAGTTCAATCCTCAGCAGCAGATGAACCGCAGTCCCTTGTCAAGAGGACACGCTCGTACAGCATCTGGCAACCACAAGTCAGCAAGACGATCTTCCTACGCCGCCAACAATGACCGAAGGAAGTCAGACTTCCTGGCTCCCCCCACGCAAGCCACTCCGAGGCAAACCCCAGCCGAGAATATGTCTACGAATAAATCTACCCCAGTCACATTCAACACGATCCGAAGCACGTTCCCCTCGCCGGCCACTACCGATAGCCCTGCACAGAATGGCGCCACGTCCCGCTCTTTCTTCATGCCCGATATCTCCCACCTCAACGACTTCATCTCAGGCAACTTGCGCTTCAATGGTGCGGTGAAGAATGGTGTCCCCGTATTTGTGAAGAACGGGCAAGTGCGAGACCGCATTGATATCCTGCCGCCCAATGATCATGCCGAGGTTGACGGTCTTGCGATTCCCGAGGATGAAGAGAAGATCTTCGTGTCTATGGATATGATCCGGAACGAAATTTGCAACCTCCAGGAACACGACGATCTGGTACAGCAGCATGCAGTGGAACTCGAAAATCAGGTGGATCATCTTCAGGCCGAATTGAAGCGGATCAAGGGCCGCAAGTCTATCGATAGTGCCCTCGGCTCCCGGACAGGCTCAGAGCCCGAGACGGCTGGCGAGGAGCGCTATCAGACACAGAAGCTGAGTAAGTATCGGCAGCCTCCTGATTTAAATTCCATCTAACAAGTCACAGAGTTGGAATCGCAGGTGACATCTTTACAAGCACGCTTGGACCAAGCAAGCACCCGGCTCGGCATTAATGAGGTCGAAAACAACACCTTGTCTCTGGAGCGAGACCGAGCTTTGAAGAAGCTTTCAGACGCATGTATACAAATTGGCGATCTCATGGATCAACTCGAAGTGAAGGGAAAAGAACTCCACGAGACCCAAGATAAGCTCAATGCCACTCTGGAGATGACCAACCCGCGAGAGGTGTTTCGCCAGGAGAAGCAAAACCACGAGGTCCGCTCCGCCGACAATAACGCTCTCCATGAAGATAATCAGATCCTTCGCCGAGAACAGGAAACCTTGCAGCAAGAAATGGAGTCTCTGCGGACGGACAACAACTCCCTGCGGCGCGAGCAAGAATCTCTCATCAGCGAAAATAGGTCTTTACGGGCTAATGCGCGATCGCTCATGTCTGAGAATGAGGAGCTTCGTCAGACTACGACCAACGCCAAGGAGGATCTCGAGGCAGCCCGTGATGAGGTTGAGGCATTGCAGGTTGAGCTTCACACCATGGAGCAAGAGAAGTCAACGCTCAAGGAGGACAACGATAGCCTTGTTCGACACAACGAGAAATACTTCAACGAGAACAAGATCCTTCGTCGTGAAAACTCGGGCTTCGAGCGTAGCATCCACGACCTTCACGATGAGAACATGCAACTGAAGGAGGAAATTGAATTCCTCAAGCAGCAGCTCGATCACTGTCGCCCTCTTAGAAAGACGGATGACTTCTCTGTGCGTCTGGATAAGGAAGATGACGAGGAGGAAACTGAGGAGAATATGACTTCGGCATTCTTTATGCCGGACATTACGATTGACAGCACACAGAACTCCAAGGTTCTTGATTTTACTCCGGAAGTGAAAAAGATTCGAAAGCCAGCGACACCAGGCAGGAAGGCTGCCGAGATCCAGGACACGACGGAGCACACAGATCGGAGTGTGAATGAGCTCGACAACACTGTCCAGAGTCAACAAAGTTCTGTCGCAGCCGAACCCCGGTCCAAGAGACGAGACTCCAATCACCACCCCCAGGACTCCACCAGTCAACAGAAAGTGTCCTTCTCGCTGCCCGAGCGGTTAGCAGCGAGTTCCAAATCCAGAAGCACGAAGGAAAGGAGCAGCAAGGCCTCCAATGTTGCGAACAAGGGCAGCAAGAGAAGCACCTCTGGTCAAACGAATCCCAAGAGCTCCTTCAAGGGGGCTTCCCTTCCAGACCTCGACCCTTTTCAAGCAGACGACGAGGGCAACATGCAATCGCCCGAACACACTCAGACTCGGACTCACTCCATGGCGATCGACATGAAGATGAAGAGCAAGAAGGAATCTCGTACTGTTCATCAAGAAACAACGAACACCACTCGCAACTTGACCAGCCAAAGCCAGAGGTCATCAAAGGCTGCTGTAAAGCCTTCCAAGAATAAGTCCATTACCGTCGATCTGATTACTCAGGGCGGGCTGGATCACACGTCGACTACTGATGTCAAGAGCAACTGCCCTGCTCTGACCTCCGATGCTAGACGTGTTCTGGATAGCTTGGCCGGACACAGCTGTAAGAACTGCATTGTGTGCACGCGGATCAAGGCTCATCGTGGAACGGTCACTTCTGCCGACATTGCAGAAGGTAAGAAGCGAGTGAAGATCTCTAGGCCCGTTGCTCCTTCGGATCAGTATAAGGAGCTAGGCGATTCTGCGGACGACCTCACAATTCGTCCTTCGCAACCTCCGGGGCATGCTTTGGCGAAGGTCATCAAGGGCCTCGAGGACGAGCTAGAGCACATGAAGATGGAGCATGCGAAGATGCAGGCTCGATACGACAACCACAACCCTGCTCTTGCCGAAACGAAGCGCAAGCAGCTCAAGACGAACATTGACGCCAACATGAACGCACAGGAGGTCAAGAACGGGCAAATATACGCACTTTACGATGTGCTTGAGGGACAGAAACAGGTCGGACAGGATATGTCGGATGAAGAGCTCGACGTCACTGTCTTCAGTATCACCGGATTGAGTGTCAGGGACATCACTGACCAACATACTTGGGAGGGCATTCAGGGGTAGGATCATGGCATGGCTTGATGCTTGTACTATGCGCGTAGCATCGCCCCGGTTTGGCGTTCTTGGTCTTTTTCTTTTTGCAGATATCACGTTGTTGGACGGGGAGTATGACTCTGGCTCGAGTCACTCAGGAGAAGGAGATTGTCACCAATATGTTTTTTGTTTCTTGCTCTGATCCTGGTCCGCATTGTTTATATACCAGACCTTCCGGGACGGCAGTTTTGTTGGCGGAGAGCAATTCGATGAATACCCCACGCCTTGATTACACGTTGAGTCTATTGTGCACGTAATATTGAGTCGTGTCATTTGTCCTTGGGGCTCTTGATGCCTGTCTGAATTGCTCGCGCTTGCTTGGCCTTCAAGCCAGCTGAATCAGCCTTTTCGACGCTAACAGCGAGCTCGCTGTGAGTTGCCCAATCGGGAAGGGATCTACATGCTTACACTGGCAGCCGTCAACATCGTCGGTTTCATTGTCCACATTGATGCTCCGGCTCTCACTTGGCAATCATTCTGCTTATAAATGTGGAGGATTATTTTACTTCTGAGACCGCAGGCTGACGTCGATAGGACCAGATACCGATCATCGAAGATGCCTCGTCTGGCAAATCAACCACCTGATGGCGAGCTAGAGAGTACATGTATAAAGGATCGGCTTTGGCACCTTAGGAGGCCAGAAAGTCTAGAGCATCAACAGTCTCGCAGCTTAAGCATCTGACAAATTGCCGATTACTTTACTCTACTCCACCCTTAACCACACACCAATAAACATGCGCATCGCTATCGCCGGTTCAGGGGCCGTAACCCGCTACTTCGCCGAAGAACTCCCCGCAATGGGCATCGACCTCGTCATCCTGACCCGGTCCCTCAAACCCGAGCTCGAAAACATCCCGGGTGTCCAACAATTAGTGACGGACTATTCCTCCATCCCGTCGATCCTCGAGGGCATCGAGGGCTCCGTCGCCCTCGTCTCCAACATCCTCGACTATTCGCCCGCCTTCGTCGACGTCCACGCGCGCCTCATCGAGGCCGCTAGGAGGAGCGAGACCTGCAAACGCTTCATTCCCGCCGAATACGGCGGCAATCTCGAGGCCTTCCCCGACCAGCCGGGCTTCTATGCCCGTCGCCAAGGCGCTGTCCGAAGGATCCTGGAGGGGCAGACAGAGTTGGAGTGGACGCTGCTATCGACGGGGTGGTTTATCGACTACGTCGTGCCGCGCCGCAACCGCATGCTCAACGACGCGGGGGACGCGATCCCCGTCAACGTCGCGGGAAACAGCATGCTGATCCCCGGCACCGGCGACGAGCCCCTAGACATGACCGCGGTGCGGGACGTAGTCCGGGCGGTTGGGAAGCTCCTCTGGGCACCCCGCTGGGAGCGGTACACGTACATCTCAGGGGCCAAGGCCACCTGGAACGAGATCGCGACGCTGATGCGGGAGAAGTATCCGCAAATGGGTGTAAAGTATCGCAGCCTAGCCGAGTACATTGAGGATATCATCGCCAACCCGGACCCGGAGGGTGAGGAGCGCATTATTGCGGAGTACGGCATCTTCTCTGCCAGCCACGCTGGGTCTCTGCCTGCCGGTCAGGTTGCCGCTCATCGCGAGAGGTACTTTTCTGGCATCAAGTTTAGGACCGCGAGGGAGTTATTGGCCGAGGTTGAGAAGGATCCTGAGGTCATTGTCTAGGGGGTTACATACATGATGTTTATTTGAACGGATATGGACGGCGCATATAGTCTCAATACAATATTACGTCAAACTCTGGCATACTTGCAAAAACACGAGTCCAAGGCTCCGGTGCAAACCCGGGGACTGTCATGTCACGGCGTCTCCAGACCTCTTCGACCGCGAGGAGCAGCGTATTCCAGCTGGCAATCCCCAGCGACTTTCGTCTTGAGAAAAAACATCTCACCCTGTCTCGCAGCTCTGTCGTACCGGCCTCTGAAGAGACCGCGGCGTAGATCCACGTCTTGGGGCTGCTGTTCTTCTGCAGGGACTCGAGATGCTCCATGTGGTCGAGACACCTGGCAACTAGGTCTTGAACAGCCCCTTCGGGGCCTCGTCTCCCGGAGTTGCCCTTGAAGTAGAGCAGGCAAGTGTAGTAAAATAACGAGCGGTGGTGGTGCACCATGGCCGAGTCCCCGTTGCCGGTGTCGTAATCCACGGATGGCTCGGGTGTAGAGAGGGCGAATTCGAATTCGAGCTGGTCGAGGTACTCTTCTGCGAGAATGGGAGTCTGCAAGAGTTTCGCATTGAAGGAAGAGACTAGTTCGAGTGATCGCTGTGGCATGATCTGACTTTTGGACAGCTCGATATCTGGCAGATACGTCTCCATCGGGACGGGGAAGTCTAGTCGTCCGAGGTACTGGGCGTGTATCGTGGCAAATGTAGAGGAGAAGGACTGATACGTCAACATGGCGGTGCTTGACTGCCTCCAAGTGTTCATGCCGGTGTCGTCGAGGAGATCCCGGGTCACCTTGACGACCTCGCGCCAGGCGCCCGCGGTGCCGGTGACGAAGTGGATGAGAATCCACAAGCAGAGGGTGGCCAGGCTCGCCATCCGTTCGTCGTGGTCTCGGCGGTTCACATTTTTCATGAGGTGGTGGAAGCTCAGCTGTTTGTGACGGAGCATCAGATCCGTGTAGCCGCCGTGCGAGTGGGTACCCCTGAGGTTTGCCTGGTGGGCTGCGGAAATGGCGCAGACCGCATGGAATAGAGCGACGGTGGAGGTCGACTTTTTGCCAGCAAGACGGCTTCCATCGAGTGTCATGGGCGATACGACGGTGAGGAATGGGTTCACCGGGGTGCGTAAGGGTACTAGTTTGTGGGCGAGATTTGTTGCCCAGTGGCTGATGAGTTCTCGTTCTTGAGCAAGAGATGATGGTGCTTCCAGTGGCCTCATCGGGCTACCCAGAGGAGGCATACCCCCATGGTTGGAAGCGCTAAATGAGGAGTTCCACGGAATATCAGGTCTATGCTGAAAGACTTCCGGTCCTAGAGCGTGTAGTTGAACGTCTCGAGACAGCTGCTCCCTCGCCAAAGGGCTTCTGCCAGCTTGCCCGACATTTTTAACCCTAGGTCGTGGCTCGCAAGACCGGAATGCCGGAAACGAGCCGGTCAGTGGAACTTCGAAAGCTTCAGGCGTCCATTGGCCGGGCGAGTGTGCCAAATTCTGCGATGAGAGGCTGGCCTTCGCCCGCGGCCGACGCCGGCCGCCGCTCCTTGGTGTTCCTTGTTCCGTCGGCGAAAGCCAGGTCAGTCGCGTGCCATATCCCTGACACGTAAACTTGCCAGTAACGCAACGCAGGCACGCCGGCCGCTGCTCGTCGCATTTGACGTGACGTTCGCGGCATGTCCAGCAGCCCGTGAACGTTTTGCGTCGTTTGCTACCAGCGGTCTCCTGCCGTGATCGCTCTGGGGATCTGTCGGTCGCTGGACGCGGGGTTAGAACGGGCAGGGCCGCATCATTGTTGACGGGCTGTAGCAAACCCGAGCCTATGGGTCCATTATGAACGTTGCTTGTTTCCATGAGAAAGCTGAATGTCCCAAAGGGGTGGCTTTGAGAGATATAATGTATAGTTGAACATCTAAAGAGGATGCATGCCAATCTCATTACCTGCACAGGTTGATTAGTCAGACAACATTGGGCAGCAGTAGGTAATCGTTCTCGGAGTCATCATGCAAGTGTCACACAGCGCCTATTAATGAGTTCGAGCGACAAAGAGTCTGAAGTTGAGGAAACAACGATCCCATCAATGACCGAACCCTTGAGCTCAGAAATGCAGGTTCGGAGGCTCATACGAAGGGTGGAAACACATGAGAATTTTATGGCCGCACCCACCAATCTAGTGTCTGAACAACCACCTTTGTCTCACTGATCTCTGCCACTTTTTCTGGCTGTAATCCTGAGCAGTCACTCCTCCTAGACTGAGGCGAGATTGAGCATGGAACTGGGTACTTGAGCTTGTGCTCGAATTTCCTGAGCAAGCTTCGGTGTAAATATACAAGGTAACCCTGATATGAGCATAATTTATACAAACCTTTTCTGTAACATAATATATGTTCATTAATTTAGTGCACTCTTATTTGTAATTAATTAGTTAATAGTTCTATTTCTCATAAAAACGCAATTTTATATACGCACTAGTTTCTTTTACGATATTTAAAAGTCAACTATAATATAATTAGATGAAAGCAATTCTTCAGCTTGCCCGTTTTGTATGATGACACACCTATTGTGTAGCATTCAACTCCCTGCAGAGCCTTCCGCCGGTTCATACAGTCTTTATAAGTTCTGAAGCCCTCTTTCCTTGACCCCATTGCCCATTGTATGTTTCCTTGATAGTACAACGTATATTACATGAAGGTTGTATCAGCACTGCACTCAGGATGTAGTGCGATGGCTTGCTCCACGTAGTAGGACGCTTGTTCAAGCATGCCGCATTGGGAATATGTGTAGCTCATGTTCGATAATACCAATTCTTGAGGCTTTGCTGTCCCGCCGGCTTTGTTCTGACAGACATCAAGCGCCGTCTTATATTACTCAGGCTTGTCAGCCTGGATGTTGTTGACACAGTTCATGCAAGAGACACACAGCTGTTGAATTTCTGGATCATCAGAGGGAATGTTCCTCTCACGATGGGCGATTGCTTCCAGATTGTGATTCAAACCATTTTCTCTCTCTCTCTCTCCCTCTCTCTCTCCCTCTCTCTCTCCCTGTCTCTCTCCTCGCCGCAACAAATAGACAACCCCAAGATTTTTGCAAATCAAGCCCAAAGTTTGACTATATTTCCCCGTTGCAGATCTCCTTCGCAGCTTTGAGAATCCCCAAAGCGTTATCTGTGTCGCATATCTCGAAGAAATACCAACCACAGTGTGCCAAAATCCCCTAGCAAGTTGGGTAGAGCTGTTTCTTTGTAAGTGCGACGTTTCAGTTTGCCCAAACGCCTTCACCGCTTCGTTTTGCAACGGAGCATCCCCTGGCTTGGGAGTCGCCCAGTGTCCCCCTTAGGCGCAAGAAAAAGATCAAATACATGGCACCGCGACGCAATTTGTCTTTCACAATCGTCGTTGCTGTAGCCCTAGTGATTCTAACCACTACACCGATATTCGGGCAAAATCAGACCTCGCGTCAGCAATCTAGCTGCGCGCTTTTGGCGGCGACCATCGCACAGAATGTCTCTCAGGCTTGAGGAGACCTCCATTGAGGAGCTTCTCAAAGGATTGGATGACAGGAACTTCAATGTGGAAGATTTGGTGAGGGTGAGCGCGCCACTCTGTCCCAAAACCCAAGAGCTGACACAAACCACAAGACTTACATCAAAAGAATCGAGCATCTCAACCCTCTGGTTCACTCCGTGAGCCAGATTAATCCCGACGCAAGTGATGTTGCGCGCAGCAAAGATGCCGAACGGCAACGAGGGGACAAATTAGGGAAACTACACGGTATCCCTATCCTTATTAAGGATGTGTTCCTCACCAAAGACCGCTTGAAGTCTACCAGTCCGTCATTGAAGCACAACAATGTTTGGCAAACTTCTAACGGCTAATTAGATGGGTGCTCTGGCTTGCTGAATGCCACTTCCTAGTTTGAGGCGACTTCAGTTCAGCGACTTAGAGACCAGGGCGCGGTGCTTCTGGGGAAAACGGTCCCCAGTGAGTGGGCTAACTACAGAAATCCAGGTCAAGCTTCAGGGGGTTGGTCAGTCGTTGGCGGTCAATGTCTCGCGCCTTACCACAAGGAGCAGGACCCCTCCGGCTCATCGTCAGGCAGTGCAGTTGCTGCATGTCTGGGATTATCAGCTGCAGCTCTCGGAACAGAGGTTTGTGAACAATTTTACGCTCAGATGAGATGTTCTCTAATGTCTTTGATGCAGACTTCTGGGAGTCTGAGCTCGCCTGCTCAAAAACCATCAGTCGTATCTATCAAGCCAACTGTCGGGCTGACATCTAGATACGGTGTTTACTCTGTGAGCGAATGGCAGGACACAGTCGGAGTGATAGCTCGAAGTGTCAAAGATGCTGCTATTGTTCTTACAGCTATCCACGGTACGTTTCGTGGGCGTCAATGAGGACGCGCGCCTCAAGTGTTGACCGCTGATACAATACAGGACCCGATCCGAACGACAGTTTCACTGTCTCTGATCCTCGTGACTCTGAAGACGTTCAGGAGCCCTCCGAAGCGACAGATTTCGCACTCGCATGCAAGGAATCTGGCCTCCAAGGGAGTAGAATTGCTGTATGTTGCCCAATGACAAGAAAATAAAACGAACCAACCAAAATCAACAGGTGCCTCGTCACATCTTCCCAAATGATTCAATCGTCAATTCTGCTTTCGACGAAAGCCTGGAAATCGCGAGATCGCGAGATCTCTGGGCGCTACTATTGTCGATAATGCTGAGTTTTCGGAATTCAACGCAAACTATTCTTCCTCCGAAGATGTCGATTGGATTTTAGACCTGCGCGTGTCCATACGCGAAAGGAAGTCTAGTGCCTGCTACCTGTACAGCTTCTGGCTAATATTCTCGAAAAGACATGAGAAAGTCTCTGGAGGCGTATGAGACAAACCCAGAGTCATTGCACACACTCGCAGACGTAATTAGATACACCGAGAGCTCCGAAGAGGAAGGAAACGACAAATGGGGAGTTGATGAATGTCTGAAGTGCGAAAAGCTCGGCGAGCAGTATGACTTGGAGTCGCCGGAGTATCTGAAGTCTCTTGAGTGGAGAAACCAGATTGGGAAGCAAATTCAAGAGCTGCTTGACCGTACGAACTGCGACTTCATCCTGGCTCCCTCCATCGATACCAGCGCAAACGTGGGTGGATGTCCCACTGTTGGAGTTCCCCTCGGGTTTTACCCCGAGGACACCCCGATTTCAAGACGAAAATCGAGCGGATTAGTCTCCGTTGGCCCCAATGTCCCGTGAGTAAGATGTAACCCTCAATTGCATTATGGTGTACTAACGTCCAAAGTTTTGCCGCATTACTCGTCGGTCGCCGGTGGGACGACTTCAACTTGATCTCCGCGGCTTTCGCATTTGAGCAGGCGACCAAGGCCAGACATCAGGTTGCGCCTATCATCTCATCAGATGTTAAGCTTTTGGTGCAGAACGCCCGGGGGATGGATGCATGTCTCTGAACGCAGACTGGATTGTTCGTGTGGTAGCTGGATCATCAAGAAGAGTACCTTTCTTATGGAAAACAACGCTCCTTATCTTGAAACAAAATATTGCGACAGTGATTCCGCTCTGGCATTTAGAGTGTACATTCAGCTGGGCCTGCATTCATGAGCTGCTGAGTGCATGATCAAGCAGCCCACTGCTCATGGTCCCCATGACATTTGATCCCATGATGGATAACCAAGATGCCACAAAAGTATAAGAATCAACCTCGCTTCCACGAGAAATTTGGAGACGTCTCGAACTACCCTGGCCTTCCCATCATCTTATTTCTCCTGCCATATTTTCAAGATGGCCTTTTGGGGAGATGGTCAAGCTGCTCCTGGATAATGGCGCCGATATAGAATCCCAGGACAAGGACAAGCGCACCCTGCCGTTCCACGCTGCTTCTGCATTTAGCCAGCCCGACATTGCAGAGCTGCTGGTCAGCAGAGAAGCGTCTCTGGACGCTCAAGACCGCTTCGGCCTGACGCCGGTAGCGACTGCTTCTTAGAACCGGCACTACGATGTCTCCAGGTTGTTGGAACAGAGCTTAGCTCAGTCTCAGACGAAGAGCTGGCTGGAAGTCCGGAGAGTTGGCTCCGTCTAAATCAAACCTAGGCAGAGAAGGTACCTTCTTTGGGTCAATCGTAGATGAAAAATTTGACAGCTGAACGTCTACTTGATGCTATCATTGCTATGAAAGCGATGCTCTTTTTGTACGGCATTATAATCCAACTCAGCGGCAGTTCTGAGGGTCCTGACTGTGTCACGCGGGTATGGATGTGGAAGGACATCTTGGAAGGAAGTCTGAAAGCATGTCCCACTTTCCCCAAATCTTGGCCAATCAAAAATCAAAACCGCATCCCCCATTGCCCGAGTTCTCATTGGCTGCCTACGGTCAGGCTCCATCGAGTGATTGAGGCCAATGTCGCCCCACTCTCCAGCCCTCCCAACACCTATATAATCCCTCCCAATCTCCCGCCTTTACTCTGTTTCCTCTTTTTTCTCTTCATACTTACCTTCATGGGCGGTCTGGGGATCAAGAAATCCGGACCGCAGAGAGGGATGCCTGCATTGCACATCGCGGAGTAGACCTCTCTCGATTGTCCTTCGGGGCCATCGCTGTGGCAATTTTTGATTTTCAACCTCACTTTTCATTGTGCCCATCACCTTGCGTGATGGTATGAAGAAGAGCTGGCTCCGTCGGTATCGATCCACAGATTAAGAGTTTTTGCCTCCGGGCTGTCTCAAGGGCGTTCAAGCGGGCGATTATACGTGCTTCACATGTTCTTCGATTGACGTCTACTTTGAATGCGAATGCCGTGACTTGAGTTTAATCTCGGCGCGCTCTACGGTTAATTTCGTACTGCGAGCCATCCAGAGCTCTACACACGGGCTCCGAATGCGTGGATCTATCGGAGAGGGCAGGCTAGGTAAATCTAAGGAAAGTTCTCATGGTGCTGGTCTGGCCGCAAGTTCGCAACTACCTACCTTACCTTGGGGCGTCTTGATTTGAGCGAGTTCAGCCCTTATAATTGCAGGGCTTCCTTGTATGTTGGTCATACAGACAGATACCTGGTTTGTTAAAAAGGAAAGGCCGCAGCTACTATTTGTCGGCTTACCTCCCGAGACAGGTCACGAGGCTTCTCCCCGTCGCAGCCTTCAACCTGTGGTTGACTGCCTCCGCTGTATCTAGTCTCTGTGCGCCTGCTGCATGGAAACTGCACCATTGAATGTCGAGGACAGGCTTCAGTGAAGGCGCCATTGACGGGTTCCCTGACAAGGCCCTCAGTCCAAGGAGTTCGAAATTGAAATAGCCCTCAATTGCGAGGGAAAAAAAATTAAAAAAGACCCGTGTGAGTTTTGTCACTGCTTTAGTTTGCCTCATGAGCAAATACCCGTGAAGAGACAGGCTGGAATGTGCTGACAGCTGGAGTCGAGGGAGAAAGACCGTCACCATCCGTCCCAAGGTCAATGAAGGACCCATCTCTGCTCTTCTTGGTGTCTCAGACCAACTTCACGCCGTCGCCCGACTGCGGAAGCCATGCCATGGACATTGGCCTCCACCTGGGTCATCAATTGGCCTATGTGAAGCCTCCGTAAGATGACGACACCCTCATACTCGGCAGGCATCCTGCTCTCATGCATCCTGACTGAACTGCGATACCAGGTCCTTCCTTAGCACTCCCCGAGGTCAAATCAGGTAAACCGTACCACTGGATGGAATCAAGCTCGAATGACATGGCTGCTCCATATTGCACAACTTTGAGTCCCGCTTGAGATCCAGTAGGTACCCCTGGAGAAACGGATATCCCCTTTTCACGCAAGAAAGGCTTTTCCAGCTGCGAGTTCGCGTTTGAGTACGAACCAGCTTCAGTCGCAGAGACAATCATGTCAGCAGGGGCTTCAGCTGGCTGACCTCAGCCGGCCACCTGCGCGAGGCGGCCGGGAAGGGAGACCGTCCCCGGCGGTGCTCATTGGATGGCGTGTGTTCCCTAGGAGTCAGCATCGAGTGGTACAAACTTGTTGCTTCGAATCCTACCTTCTTCATCAAGACAATGGATGCCATGTCCGATGCTTCGCCTTTCTTAGGGGGCGGGTTGCAGGATACATTGCAATGGCAAGCTGAATGGCAGCCCGTCTGAATGCTTTCTTATTCGCAGCAGATGCTGACGATTGAGACAAATCCCATTCGCCGTCGCCTGCCTTGTGGCGGGATGACATGCTGCTACACGAAGCTCGAGATGCCGGCCTAATGCAAAACTGCCTTGAACAGCCCTCGATGTCCTCGCTAGCATGTGACTGCTGCTCAAGGTTGGAAATTGCCAAAGTAATACGAGTGTATAAGAATGGCACAAGACTCTTCTTGCGAAGATTCTATCGTGTCTGGAAATCAATGATCTCTGAACAAACAGCAAAGATGAAACCTACAACCAAGAGTCAGGCCCGCCAATCGGCCGAGGACTTTTTCAAGTTCTTCTTCATTCTGTTTTGGAAGGTTGTCAACATCTTCATCGCATGGCACAAACTTCCGCCCTTCATTGGCGCCTTCAACCTTCTGGCGCTGCGATTCGAGCTCCGCCAGAAGAACCTTTACGATACATACCCATCCCCCGAAGACCAAGGCACACCGGCACAATACCCCATGTCTGACACCAAGTTCATGGCCGTCAGAAACTCGGACGGCCTCTTCAATGACCTCCAGGCGCCCAAGATGGGCTGCGCCGGGATGCGGTTCGGCCGCAACATCCCCAGGGAGCACGCCAAGATTCCCACTCACGAGGAGCTGCTCACGCCGAACCCGAGACTCATCTCTGAAAAGATCCTCGCGAGGCCGGAAGGGGGTTTCAAGCCCGCCACGATCGTCAACTTGCTCGCCGCTGCCTGGATCCAGTTTCAAGTCCACGACTGGGCGCAGCATGCCTCGAGCAAGGAGACTTGGGACGTTGCCATGCCAAAGGGAGACACCTGGCCGGACAAGAAGATGAAGATCTTCAAGACCAAGGTCGACAGTACCCTCTCGAAGCAGGATGACGAGTCGCCGGGCTACAAGAACGAAAATACGCACTGGTGGGATGGCTCGCAGATCTATGGTTCAACTGAGGCTGAGACCGCGGAGCTCCGATCCAAGTGCGATGATGGGCAGCTCGCGGTCGACCGTATCAACGGCGAACAGTTCCTTCCTCGCGAAAACGGCATTCCCAAAACCGGCTTCCATAATAATTGGTGGGTCGGGCTCGAGATGCTACACACCCTCTTTGCCTTGGAGCACAATGCTATTGCTGGCCAACTCAAGCTGTCGAACCCATCGTGGACGAGCGATGAGATCTTTGATACGGCGAGGTTGATCAACTGTGCACTCATGGCCAAGATCCACACCGTCGAGTGGACGCCCGCTATCCTAAAGCATCCGACATTGAAGATTGGTATGGAGGCGAATTGGTGGGGGTTGGTTGGTGAGAAGGTGTGCCTCCCGATGATCCTTCTGCAATGAAGCCACTGACAAGACTGAACAGCTGTGGCACGTCTTCGGTCGTATCTTCGACAACACGTCCGAGGTTATCTCTGGTATCCCGGGCTCAGGAACTGATCAAGACGGAGCCCCATACTCCCTAACCGAGGAATTCGTTTCCGTATACCGCCTGCACCCGCTCGTCCCCGACGACATTGCCTTCTTCAAAGTTAAGAGCGGGCAACATGCCGACACCCTGCCGATGAAGGAGGTCGCCTTCGAGAGAGCCCGCACGCCATTGGACGACAAGACCTCGAATAGCAACGGTCTCGGCTTGAACTTTGCCGACGTCTTCTACTCCTTTGGCGTCAACTACCCCGGCGCCATCCGCGCAAAGAACACGCCAAACTTCCTGCGTGATCTGCGCCTTCCCGCCGACAAAGAGTTCCCCCAGGCCAGGCATCTCGATGTGGGCACCGTCGACATTCTCCGAGACCGCGAGCGCGGCGTGCCGAGATACAACGCCTTCCGCCGCCTCTTCCACATGCCGCCCGTCCGCAGCTTCAAGGATCTGACGGGCCCTGGCCCAGAGGCCGCCGAGCTGGCGGCGGATCTGGAGGAGGTGTACAATGGCGATATTGAGGCCGTCGATCTGCTGGCCGGCACGCTCAGCGAGCCGCTGCCGGAGGGCTTCGGCTTCAGCGACACGGCCTTCCGCGTCTTCATCCTCATGGCGAGCCGACGCATCAAGTCTGATCGGTTCCTCGCCGGTGACGGGTGGTGTCCCGAGGTGTACACCCGGGAGGGTATGGACTGGGTGCAGAAGAACACGATGAAGGACGTACTGTGCAGACACTTCCCGGAGCTTGCTGCGCCGTTGCGCAATGTCGACAACGTAAGTCACGCTGATCCTCTCTGTTACCTGCATAGCTGCTGACAAAGGTTGAAGGCGTTTGCACCTTGGGAGAAGGTTGGTCGGACAGCCGAGTATACGGGGAAAGAGACCAACGCCTGAGCGATGAACTGCCTATTCAGAGACCGCAATGCTTGCTTGCTTGAGACTTTGGTTCATTGCTAACCAGGACATTCGTTGGTGGATTTTGGAATGAAGGAGGGTAAAATGTGGGAAAAGATACAAACTTCAAAATTCCTTGGCTACTGTACTGAGATTGAACGCAAAGCCTTATTGGGTTGGTGTATTTGACAGGAATCAAAGGATACTATAGTGATGAGAATCAAGATGACCTCTTTAGCGTTGCGTAGGAGAATATCAACAGCAGGAAGTTGGCCCGATGGGTTCGCCCCAGAGATTACTTGATGACTTATTTTACCAATCCACCTGAGTAGGCATTTTGAGAAGCCGGCCCAAAGCTTGATCGGCTCAGAAACACTAAGACGCTTCTTGCGTGGCGGGGAGATGGGTTTGAAGCTTGCCGGTATGGGAAAAGGGTGAGGCGACCTAGATGAGAATCGAGTTAAGGAGTGTGTCTACAACAGAGTACGCACAGGGAAATCACGGCTCAAGCCGAAACGGCATCTCAATCATCTTGCTGGAGAGGCAATTGATGGCTATCTTGAATTAAGTTATTGAGATTCAATGTCACCGAGACTGAATGCGCGGCAAACCGAGGTCTATCCATGAACGGCTGAAAGACGTTTGCCGGCCTATAAAGCTCTCTTCGCTCGCCATAAGAAGGATTCAAGCCTCGACCTGTGGTTCAGGTTCAGCCCTACCGGACGGTGAGGAATGGTGACCTGGGCCCCATGAGGCTTTCCCGGCGTATGACCTCATTGAATCAACACCGAAATCATCCCGTCTCGCAGCTAAGCCACATACTTTCGTGACGACGGCAGGAGTATCCGTAAAGAGCCCACCAAAAGGATGGAAATGTGCCGCATGGCAAACAGGGGGGGGGGGGGGGGGGGGGGCAAGGGCCTCCCCCCGCCCCCCCCCCCCCCCCCCCCCCGGGCCCCCAACGGGGGGGGAGGGGGAGGAGGGGCACGACGTGCGAGCCCGGAGGGGGGCGGGGGGGCGGGGCGCGGGAGGGGGGGGGGGGGGGGGGGGGGGACGCGAACTGCTGCCTACGCAACTCTGCTCAGGGGTACGCAATGGCGCGTCCTGGGAGTGCTTGGGAGATTACTGTATGTGCCAGCAAAGGACAGCAGCCAAAAGTTCAATTTGGCTGGCTATTTGTAGACAAACAGAACCTAAGCAAGACGCTGGACGGGCACGAAACGTGACACTTCTGTCATCTCGACTCGAGCCGGGATGATGGTTGTTTTATGTGTCTGCTTCTCACCAAGACGGGTATCTATTCATTCAAACTTTTACTTGCAACCGCCGGGGGGATTACAGCTCGGAAGGGTTGTCAATTTTAGATTGCCTCGATCAACAGAAAGCAAGGCAAGATGGGCTAATACCTATCCACGCCGATCACCATTGGCCCATGAGTCCAGTTTTATCTGACCAACTTGGCACTCTGGTTTACTTCCATGTAACCCTTCACGTTCCCTTTTCCCCGTTACTTGTCGCAGCAGTGTCCGCTTCGCGCGACCCCCCTTGAGCCAACTTCGCCAAGACGAAACTTGGGCCCCCTCTTTTAATCTGGCGGGTGCGCAGTCGTCCTGCAACGCGAGCATGTATTGTGTGCGCGTGTGTGCTTGTGTTTGTTAGTGGTCGACTGTATCCGTGGTGTCCGCGTATTCTGGGTCGACAGTTCCCCCCCCCCCCCCCCCCCCCCCCCCCCCGTCTCTGTGTTGGTGGGGGGGGGGGCTCCGGGCGGGGGGCGCTCNCGCCCCCCCCCCCCCCCCCCCCCCCCCCACCAGATTAAGATTGTATGGATGGGGGGAGATCCTTGGCGGGGATGCTGCACAGCCCTCTCCTCTCTCTGGCTTTCCTGGGCACCAAGGAGATGAGAGAAATGGTTGCAGTGAGATCGAATGGGCTTGATGTTTGAGATATAATTGAGGAGGAGAACATCCCGTCCTCTATCGTTTCGAAACGAAGCAATCTTTTTTCTTCACAGCCGATCTTTTATCGATTTGATTCCCAGCCACTCCTTTCATCCCAGGGACATCTTTCTCAACGTCAAGCAAGCTCCAATAAGCCGCTCATTCAATCACCAGATAAATCATTCAAGATGACGACCGAACAACCGCAGAGACAAACTATGGACCCCAACACGGAGCAGCCCAAGGAGGAGGACACCCAGAAAGAGGGTTGGTCTTGCGTAAGTTTGAATCTCCATCGACCTGGAGGGGTATTACATCCATCCCACTGACGAGTCCCCCCGGGTACAGGCTCAGTGCTGTTCGAGCTGCATGGACTGCCTCATGATGTGCATGCGCTCCTGAGCAATCGCCAACATCTTAAATAATCTTGTTCAATTGTTTCCCTTGCTTTCAAGATCAGACAGGCAATCTCTCTCTTGTAGCATTGGCCCGCTCCAATTCTAGGTTGTCGCATCGGCTATGGAATCTTTCTTTTCAACGGTCGCCCGTTTGCGGCCATGATGCGCTTAGGGGGGACAACAGGAATTCGGACGGGGCGTTCGCAGGAGTTGGGTTTGGTTCACAGAAACCAGGTGTCATTTCATCGAGACATTCCTTCTACCTTACCCTTTTTTTTCTTCGCTTCTATTCTTCTTCGATATCCTCACATAAACATCGGTTCGTTTTACTTTTACAGCCCAATAACCAAAGCCTGTGCTATACGTCCAAGTTCCTCTTTCTCCCTCTCTCTCTCTTGTGTGAAATCTTTGGTTGGGTCGGGTTCATCGTCCAACACCCTGCCCAGCACAGTGCTCGCTGCCACGCGAAGACCGGGAGGGAGTCTGTGCGCGAGCTCCCGCATCGCTACATGCCCCCACTCGGAAACCTCCATTCCAACGTCCCCTCCACTTTTTTCGCACCTGGTCCCGCGCATCTTTGGAAGCAGTGCGGTCTGTCATTGCTTCCCTCTCTCTCACGGCTGCAGCCTCGCCAAAAGCTCGAAAACTCGCGCCCTCACCAACAACCTATCGTAAGCTTTCAGCGAATCCTCAAACATCAACCCACAAAGCTGATTCTCCCAGCTCTCTCCCCTCCCCTCGCCGCCACCAACACCCTATCTACCTCGCAACGACGTCTTAAAAAAAATCAATAAAGGAAATAGAAAATGGCCGACGTAGAAATGGAAATCGACAACCCCCCCTCCCCCTCCGCCGTCGAGGGAGGACCCGACGGTGGTGCCGCACCGGCGCGCAACGAGTCCGAGATGCAGACCCACGGCCGGGCGACCGCCGTCCGCTCCATCGAGGGCTGGATCGTCATGGTCACAAACGTCCACGAGGAGGCCGACGAGGAGTCCATTCAGGACATGTTTGGCGAGTACGGCGAGATCAAGAACCTGCACCTCAATCTCGACCGGAGAAGCGGTTACGTCAAGGTGGGTTTCTTCTTTTTATCCTCTTTGGACTGCGATGCACACACACACACACATATACACCCACACCCAAAGAGATGAAAGCAGCTTGAGGATAATGGAAAAGCTGACCACTGAATTCTACCATCTCCACAGGGCTACGCCCTCATCGAATACGCAACACTCGCCGAAGCCCGCGCCGCAATCGACTCGGCCCACGAGACAAAACTCCTCGACCAGACCGTGTACGTCGACTTTGCCTTTGTCCGCCCCCCTCCCGGCGGCAAGGGAGGCAACAACAACAATAACAACAACCGCGGTGGCGGCGGCGGCGGCGGCGCGAGGCCCCAGAACCGCGGTCGCGGACGCAGCCGCAGCCGCAGCGTCGAGAGGGAGGTTGTCGCTGCTAAAGACAGCGGCGATATCGAATGAGGAGAAAAGAGACAGAGAGAGAGGAATAAGACATGGGATATTCTCTGGGCATCCAAGATTAGCGGGAAAATTCAAAAGGGGCTCGTCGTCAACGGGAGATTCGGGAGATTCCCCCTTTTGACGCGGAGTATCAAAGTAAAAAGGAAGAAAAGGCCTTGATACGATATTGGCCTTTGCCGATGTGTCGCGACCAAGCTTAAGACAGACATACGGCTGGTCACAGAAAAACACGTCGGCATGTGTGATTCAGTCTGAGAAGGTTTGTTCATTGCCCTTCTCTCTCTCCTGTTGTCTAATGCTGACTCGCTTGTAAAGGCTACAACTAAATCAAAATCTGATGTGACTATATTTCCTGCAACCCGAGGGAACTGTGAGAACTTGGCTAATTCATCCTCTCGAGGGACCAAATTTCGGGAGGAACAGCCAAATTCTTTGGTGGCTAATATCCCACAAGCACAGGTGACCTTGAGTCTCGCCAATTGCTTCATCTCAACTAAGCGTAGGAGTCATAATCGTCATTACTAACGTAAAAGGCCACCCAGCCTAGAGGTATCTAAAAAAAAAACTGGTCCCCCGACACAATGGAGGAAGGACCAGCAATCCAAAACTTTTGTATCCTCATTGCAATCCTACTCCGTTGCAATGCCCATGTGTCATGCTTCGAACCAATAATGTGCAAGAAAAAAGAAAAACACACCCGTCCTCATTAACCCTCATTCCGTCGTCGCGCATCACTTTCACCTCACCTGCCGCACCCCCTGCTCATAGCTTGCCGGCGAGTCGAATCTTCCCGAAGACCCGCGCGTGCGAGCCGAATCATAACCTCCGGGAGACTGGTACCTCGCGTTCTTGGGCGGCGCATCGTAGACAGGCTCCCGTCCGGCGGAAGGCGCTACTGATGGCTGCCTGACGGAACCCTGCTTGAGTGAACCCTGCTTGACGGACCCTTGTGTCACAGATCCCTCGAATTGCTCCTCCGACGCTGCTGGCCTCTGAGGCTGCACGGCACCAACATCCTTCTTCTTCAAGCTGAACATTCGCTTGAAGCCAGATGGGGCAGGCGGCTGCACGGTGGCGGCCTCGTTGGCGTCGTCCCAGATGAGGCGTGGCACAAGCAGTCGGTAAGGCACTGTAATGCCAGTAGGATCTTTCTGATTTACCTCCACATTGAGGCAAATATCCAAGCCGCCCTCGAGGTCGACTTCATATTCGTCTGCCTTCTTCTTCTGCTTGACTGACAGACCTGTAGGGGTACGGTGGAATGCCTTCGGTCGTGGTAGCATCTCTTGGGACCGAGGAACCTGGCGTTCGTCACCCATAGTGTAAGCGCGAGGTGGCGGATGAGCAGTGAACTGGGATTCGTCGCCGGGGGAGAACTCGTCTTCCGACCCAGGACCGCCCCTGATAGGCGCGCCCCTTATCCGCGCGGCGGGACGAGCCGTGAAGTAGGAGTCGTCACCGGATTGGTACTCGTCATGTCTTCCTCCTCCTCCTCCTCGAAGACCCATACCCCTAGACCTGGGCGCGTGCCGGCGGTCGTACTCATCATCGTATCCATAGTACCCATCATCGACACTGCCGTCGACGCTATCTTCCTCTCCCCACTGACCGTTGATGCCACCGTCATCGGGTTGCGACTTTTTGCTGTTTCGTCGACCAAGACTGAAGAAGTTGCGCGTCAACGACATGGAACGCTTGGGCTTGTCAGCAGTAGGTGGCCGGCCTCCGTCAGTCGAGTTGCGGCGTGAGAGGCTTCGGAAGAGGCCGCCAGCCTTGCCTTTGTTGTTAGAAATTGGAGGACGCGACCGAGACTCATCGCGCTGAACATCGGGCCGGTATGCAGGACCACGATTTGAAGAGAAACGTCTCAAGAGACCTCCACGGCTTGCCGGCGGGCTCGGGCTCCTATCATAAGCCGACAAAGGCGGTGTGGGAGGCGGCGTCGTGCCCGGAGTCCATTCCCGGATGGAACACCAGTTGCGATGCGGCAGCAGGTGCTTGTTGTTTCTCGCTTTACCATCAACTCCATGGTGGAAGAGCGGAATCATATCTTCGTCAGTCGACTCGTCAAAATGATGAATCTTGTTACGCTTGTTCAAAATATCCGCCATCAGGTCGGGAGGCGGTGTGTTGACGATGGCCGACGAGACAACATTGGGCATGTATCGGAAGTCCTTGTGCTTGGGCAGGCCGAGCTTGGGGTTGGCGTAGAACTGGCCCACAGCAGCGAGATGCACGTCACCACTGAGAAAAGTGACTCTCACGGACTTGTCAGCTGCTAGATCTTGCATGTCTTGGATCACGACTGTCCGCTCCTTTTTATGATTCTTGGCGGTCCAGTGGTCATTAAGGTCGTCGAGAACTTCGACGCCACCATCAATGTGGTTCAGAGTTTTGCCGAGCATGCCCAACTTGCCAAGTGCCTTGACAGGATCCATGGCTCTCGAAGTGAGACTGCAACTGTTAGCTCGTCTTCACTATGTCGCTGGAGTCTAGGTAAACTTACATGTTTTCCAACCATACCAATCTGGGGTAGGCAATCGGAACACCGAGCAAAACAAGAAGATGCTTGGTTCTACCAGTCCGTAGCTCTTCATAGCAGCGGTCCATGATCTTCTGCCACGAGGGCTCACTGACCACATCAAGCTCGGTCCGCTCTGTTCTGCCATCAACAGCGAGTAGAGAAATGTTTGATCCTAACTCCACGAACAAGCTACGGCTCAATTCGCTGATGTACGGACCAGGCTTGCTGCCAAGCACCCAGCTAGGCTCAGTGGCGTCCGTCTCACTTGGAATGCTTTGGTGCTGGAAAAGCATGTAATACTTGTAGGCAACGTTGCCGAGGCCAGAGAAGACTGGAGAGTTCATGTCGTGATGTGCGTAGGAGCCAAAGCCGTCAGAGATATCATGATCATCCCACATGTTGACCATGGGAATCTGCGCGTTGGCCAGGCCAAACAGACCTTGCGAGAACCACATACAGTAGCGCTCCAGGTAAGCCCGCTCAAGCTCATCCTGCATTGTCAGGGTGAAGGGCGAATTGTGCTTGTGCAGAGGATTCTTGATCATCAGCCATTCACGGAACTGCTTGCTCTGGTCCATCAGGCAATCGTTGTAAATCTGATCGCCTCCGCCAATCATGACGTGGAAAGGCTGTGACTGGTGCGTGTTGAGAACGTCGCGCCACATAGGGTCTGGTCCGCTAAAGTCGTCGGGGTTAACACTAGCGCTGAAGCCGTTGCAGCTGTGGAACATGATGTTCATGGACTGTCCCATGGCGGGAACCCAGAAGCCCATAGCAGGTCCCCTATTGATCCTGTATGCGATGCGTTGCTGCTTTTCACGTAGCTCGATCTCGATGTTAAAGCGCCAGAACGTATATCCGCGCTCCGCATGCAGTCGGAAACCGCGAACGTCCTTGTACTTGGAAACCTTTTCTCCGTCAATCTCCACACGCTTTCTACGGCTTGCGAAAGACCCGGGTAAGTCCGGAGAGCCGTTTGACGGGGTGTAATCCGGCGGACTTCTCGTCTTCTCAAAGAGGCCATTGTCTGTTTCGTCTCTGGATAAGTCCTTGGCCTCATCGAGATGCTCCACAGGGCGGACGTAGAGTGTTTCTCCTCGTCTGCCCAGCTTTGGGATGCCCGCAATCGGATCCACGTATTCCGGTGGCAAGCCCTGCTCTCCAGAGATTTCCTGGGGCGGGGGCGGGAGGAGCTCGATGGGCTGCACGAAAAGCCTCAGTGTCGGCGCAATTTCATACGAAGAATCACTGTCCTGCGTGACAATCATCACCGAGCCTCTCCATAGCGTCTTCTCATTGACGGCAATGTTCCTGTTGCGGGCGGGAACCTTCTCGTGCTTGAGTCCGCAGTATCTCAACAACGGACCACACTTGAGGAACAACGGCGGCTTAAACCGTGTAGGTGCTATGACTTATGTTAGTTTCATCACACAAGCTAGCCCACGGGAAACTCACCATGTGTGTCGTCGTACTCGCCGTCAAAAGCTTCTGCCTTGCGTGGCCGCGAGGTGCTTTCTCTGCGCTGACCGCCCTCCCTACCGCCCTCCCACCAAGGAGTGTCCTTATCAATGGAGGCGAGCCGCTCGTCGCTGAGGTCAAGCATGTTCCCGCAGAGGCTCCCGACCGTTGCCTTCTTCCACTCATCAAGGTATACAGGCGGTTTATAGATGCCTTCACCAGGACGGAAAGTCTTCTTTGCGGGATAGAGATCCCGAGAATCGTCGCTAAATCCGTCATCCTCGGAGTAGTACTCCCTGTCGGTTGGTCTGCCCCGCGCCGCGGCATGCCCGTGATTTGCATGAGGGTATCCATCGCCACGCCCACCCGAGGCCACAGGTGCATGTTGAGGGTCCTCGTATCGAGGGTCTTCACCGTCAGAGTCTGAGTCCAAGTGTCGGGCTGCCGGGGCAGTCGAGCGTCGTTGAACCCCCCCAAAGTCATTGCCAATTAGCTTCGCAGCCTTGCCGGGCATCCTGGCCTGCCTGACTTCTTCGTGTAATGCGTCCGGGGGCAATGCCTGTTCGTGCGACACGGATCTCTGCATGGGAGGACCGCCTTTCTCTGCCGCAGATTGGTCCAAGGCGGCGTTGCGAAACTCAATGTTGTCGTACTTCTTCTCTGCATCCTTCCGAATACTGTACCAAGGGTCGCCTTTGGGCTGCTTTTTCAGCTTGTTGCTCCCGCTCCTTGTCAGAGAGAAACTGGGTCTCCTAGAGCTAGCTACCGGCGGCGTAGGCTGTGGACTGTCCTCTGCGCTTTGAGGATCGGTAGCTTGCGGTAATTTCATGTTGTCCTTCGCGGCCCGCTCGCGGAAGCTCAGATTACGCCTGGGAATCCCCGAAATTGCCACAGCAGCTTCGCTAGGCGGCTCGCGAAGGCTCACACTGCGCTGTGGAACGCCAGAGGAGAGCAGAGGATGTCTCACGTCCGCCGCCGGCATCTCGGGACCTCTTGACGGGTAAGGGCCAGATGCATGCCGCATATGGCTCTCAGGCATGTACTGCTGCTGCCGTCGCCTATCGTCGAGCGACTGGCGCGGCGCGTATCTTCCTTCGTCTTCGGGGTAGTGTTGCACCGGCGCTCCACGTGAAGCAGTGGCACTGGCGTGCTGCTGCTCATGTCGATTATTGTCTGACCTCTCGTCGCGGAAGCGCACCTGCTGCACAGGGACCTGGTGTACCTGTACTTGCGAAACCGGTGGGGCGGCTTGTTGATGCTGCTGGGGTTGCTGAGGTGGTTCAGGTAGTGGTCGCTGAGGCTCTTGCTTGGGCTGTTGTCGCGGCGCACGTTGCGTAGCTTCGGGTGGTTGAAGCAGATCGGGGTTCTGGGCAGCCTTCGCCGCAGCCTTCTCCCTGGCGCGGCGCTCTGCGGCCTCGACACGAGCTCGCTTCTCCTCTTTGGTGATGCTGTCGAGCGTCAGCTCAAGCCTCTGTAATGGAGAGCGGTCGTTGGCGAACTTTCTGCCGGAGCCTCCCGCAGACGCTTTCCTCCCCTGCGCATCTCTGCCTGGGACCCCATTCGATTTCCTCCTGGACGAGTTTTGAGGGCCGCGGGGTTCGCCAGGGGCCCGCGTCTCGGCAGCGATATCGAGTGTCTGCTGCGAGCGGTCTAGGGGAGGGTATTCCTGCTGTTGCCTTTCGGGGGCAGGTTCCTTGTAGTACTCTTCAGGGTTCATCTCGTCTTCCGGGCCGACCAACGGACTAGGCTGTCGCGGTTCTCGAGCTGGACTCGGAGCAGGGTGCGTGTATGGTAGACCACCATTGCCGTATGGATGTCTGAAGCTCACGGGCGGTACCTTGGGCACATTGGGGGCAGCTGGAGGTGTGGGGGCGGAGAGAGAGTCTATATCAGGGTCCTCGTCCCTATCTTTGCCGTTGCGCTCTCTGCGTCGTCGCTGGCGCCTCTCGGCCTGCTCGTCAGGATACTGAGACTCGCCGTAAGGGAACGTCGGTGGACGCGGGGCAAGGCCTTGGTCCGCGAAGCTGGAGGCAGTGGGCGACGCGAAGGGGCTGAGAGTAGACTCGGTATAGGCCTCGGTGTTTGTTGTCTGCAGGGAGGTGCGATTCGACTTTGGAGGATGAGGAGGGAGCGGCTTGTCTACTGCCGCGGCGATTGAGAGAACCGGCTCAGGTGACATGCGCTTCGGGAGACTAAAGTCTTCAGATTGGCGACGCTGGCGTCTGGCCGCTTTGGGGCCAGACAAGTCCCCCCAATACGGCGCAGGAGGCATGGCGACAAGACTACCTCAGTTGTCGCTGGGATTTGCAAAGCGCTAATCGGGCTGCAGACGGGAACAGACGTGGGCGCAAAGACCGGTGAGTCGTGCGCGCTGCCGTCCGTGGGAAAGCAAACTTGCAGAAATACCTACAGACTACTCGGTAAACTAGAGCAGAAACTAAGTAGCGGTAGAGTGAATATGGCCGGGCGTCAGAGACATATGCGGCTTGCCATGACAGCCAATGCGATGCAGACACGCGGGCGCAAAGGAGGTCGGCCGTATGCAAGAGCAAGGAAGTCGAGAGCGGTAGATAGGTCACCGAGAAGAGATGCCGAGAGGAGATATGGGATGATGGCCCAGGGAGAAGGAATCGTTTGTTGCAGCCGAGAAGATACAGACGTGAGTGACAGATATGAGACGAGAGGTTAAAAAAAAAAAAACGCTTTCCGAGGGTTCCCTGGAAGCTTGAGCTTTCCTGGCGACTCAAGCACACCGGCAGAAGCTAAAGAAAATCAAAAGCTGGGAAAATGGCGAGGTTGACTGGTTGTGCTACGGCGTCATTCGCCCACCGAGTTGGGTTTAGCAAGATGGATGCTCGACCGGGGTTGGGAGCGACTTGGGCGGAGAGAAATCGCAGAAACCCTGTCTCGTCGACCGGGGTCTTGCGTCTGTTCCACTATCTCTGTCACTCTGCTCCTACCTGCTAGACCAGGCGTGTCATCGATTGGGCTGGCAAGGCAACACAGACTCATCGAATGCCGCTGCCACTGGGCACGAACAGCCGCGACAGGGGATAGTTGTCTACGGGCATGATGGGGTCAACAGGGTCACTGTCAGGCCGAGAATCAAGAGGAGGAGAAGGAGCAGCTCCGAAGAAGAAAAGAGGCGGTCGGAATGGAGCCACTGAACGGTCGCGCTTGCCATTGACCAGTGACCACGACTCCGATGGCTGCAGCTGACATGCAGCCAGAGGCCCAGAGCCCCCCGTTTCCATCTGCCCTGACGGGGCCACTGGAGGAGGAGGCTCCAGCTTGCCCATTACCACATGCTGCTGTCCTTCCTGTTCCTGCTAACCGCCAATGGGTGGACGGGAGGAGAGAGGGGGGGGGGGGGGGGGGGCAGAGGCGCCNCTACGTCCGCGGGGGTGGGGCCTGTGGTCCGCGGGGCCGGGGGGGGGGGGGAGGGGGGGGGGGGGGGGGGGGGGGGGGGGGGTTTCCTGCCGAAGTGTACGAAATACAAAACACTTTGAAAGGCAGGCAAGTGATGTGAGATGTGACATCGGGATGAGACACAGGTGCAGGGTTGCAGGCAGGGTGTCTCCGGTCAGAATAACGTGAAAACGAGGAAAGAGAGGAAGAGGAAAAAAACAGATGGCTGAAAGTCTCCTAATTGTTCAATCCTTGAATCGAGTAGAAAGCGAGGTAAGGTACGGATAGCCCCCGGCAAGGTAAGGTCCTGATACGAACGGGACAGATTCGGCACCCGGTAATCAGGTTCCCTGCAAAAAGTCAATTCGATCCAATGCGGTAACACATCAGCCCCGGGTAGTCGAATAAAGAGGTGGTTGGCGCAAATATAGACCGACGGACTGAAGGTGACGTGGACCGCGTTGACATCTGCCAAGACTCGAAGACATGAAGAAAAAGAATCAAAGCCGATTCATTCGGCACCATGAACATGTGTACTGTTGTCCCAAGCGTTTGCCGTAGGTTTGCTGCCAGAGGTTGCTGGTTGACCATTAGCAGAGACCGAGGCTTCCAACAGAGATCAAAACGTAAAACAAGATACAGTCCAGATAGCAAGTATTCGAACATGAGAAAAATGCAGACCCTTGAGAGCTTATTTTTAGCCGTCCAGGAGCCGTGCAGTAGCTGTCTTGTTCGGTTCGGGCACTCCCGCCCTTCAGGTCAACACATCAGACCGGGACTCCCTCACCTTCGCAGAGCTTGGACGTTTTCTCTACCTCAGCAACGGCCAAACAAAGAGCGCTCACACACTCACACACCTGGTTTAAGGTATCCAACGTTTCCAATTGATTGATTCATTGCGCCTCACAACACCAACCGCGCCGTCTAGCTTCCATAGAAATGCACCACCCACAATGCCCAATGCTATCAAGTGACGAGAAAGAGAAGCTCAAGGTATTTATATGCAATAGACGCCCATACCTGTCCTGCCATGCGCCTTATTTTTCAGTAAGCCTATCAGTCTCTCTGTTGCCGCTGCCCTCTCTCGAGCGGTCCCGGTTGTCGTGGTATGCCCCAGCCTCATCTTCATCGTCCTCGTCATCGCCAGCAAATGCATCGTAGAGTTCACGGCCCCGCGTACGCTTCTCGCCATTGAGACCCTCCGTCTCGTCTTCATTAAGCAGCTCGAACTCGTAGTTGTCACGGGGCGCGCTGTTACGACGCTTGCGGATGTAAAACCAGATACCCAGAGCAGAGCAGAACACAGCAATGAGGGCAATGGCGCCATATACCCAAACGCCGGCCTTTCCGAAAGACGGGAGCCAAGATACCCAGTTCGACGGGCTGGTAGTCGCCGCCGGCGTCTCCTGCGTGTCTGTCGGCTTGCCCGTCTCCGTAGGTGTCGCGCCGACTCCAGACTGGATCTTGGTGGGCCGTTCGGGATGATCGGAAGGCTTGACCACAGAAGCAGTGTTCTCGGCAGGGTGCGTCATTGTCGTGATAGCAGCTGGCAGAGTGGTGGTTGGGACAAGAGCGTGATCGTTGTCGTCCTCTTCTGTCGGCATGGGAAGGAGAGTGGCCTTGCTAGCGTCGATCGACTCGCCCCAGAGCTTCAAGTGCCAGTCGATAAAAGTACCCTTGTGTGTGTTCTCTTTGGAGTCCTTGACAACGACAGTCCACTTGCCAACACCAGATTCACCCCTGGTGCATAGTCAGCATTCGGAATCTTGTGTCTCGTCAGTCGTTGGGTCAACTTACCAGTGAACTACACTCATGAAAGTCCAGTCAACGTAGCCGGACTTCGCAGAGTCCATCTTGCGAGTGACAGACAGGTGGCTAGTAACTCCCTCGGGGCTGATCAAGTCGGCGCTCAAGTCGCCTCTGCGCGTGTGGTTCACGTTCATGGTGACCGTCACATGCTCCAGTCTTTCGAGGTTGGCTTGCTTCAGAGCATCCGCTGTAACATCGAAGCTGGCCGCGATGCCGTCCTTGCCTTGGGGAATGTCCTTGTTGACGTGAATCCATGGAGAGTAGTACCACGCCTGCGGCTTGACGTTTTTCCAAGTCTTGGCTGCCTCGACCATCTTGAACGCATCAATCTTGCCGTATCCATACGTGTGGCTGAACTTCTTTCCGATCTTGGTCGGCATCCACTGTCCATTCTCCTCGTCAATGGGCACCGCGGTATCCATGGCGAGCCATTGCATGTCTCTCCAGGTCAGGTCAGGGCGGGCCTCGAGGACCAACGCATAGACACCAGCGCCCAACGGAGCAGCGGCGGAAGTGCCACCATGGCCGTTGTAGCAGGCATTTTGGCCAACGTCAGTGGTGTGCTGCGCAAGGGATTAGTTCTGGTCCTGCCACGCAAAGAGGCTGGGGAACGTACGATAGCATCTCCGCTGCCACTGCTGTACGTAACAACAAGCTGAGCCGAGCACTTCTCGGAGTAGTAAGGGTGCTGGCCTTTTCTGTCAATCGCACCAACAGTAATGCTGTAAATGGAGTTCGTGTATCCGTCAAAATTGCAGTTGTCATCGTTCGCGGCACCGTTGCCGCTGGCAAAGACATAGATGGATCCCTTTCCGCCACGACCCTGCTGGATGCCCTTGAGCATGGCACGCTTGATGAGGATACCAGGCGCGTCCATTGATCGACCGTCATCAGGCGGGCCCCAAGAGCATGAGTATATGTCGTTGTGCTGGTAGTCGTAGGTCATCGCAACAGCCTCATCGGCATCCGAAATCAGCTTGCTCAGAATACGGATGCCCGCAATCTTGGATTCGTAGGCCACTCCGACACCGCAGATGTTGTTTTTCGCCGCAGAGACTTCGCCAGCGCAACGAGTGCCGTGCTTATCATCGCTAAGCGTGGGTTTGGGCTCTTCGCGGTGATCGTTGAAGTCGTAGGAGCCAGCGGCGTAGTAGTTTGGCTTCAGGTCGTCGCTGTACATGTCGAGACCGTCGTCCACAATGGCGACGGTTGCGTTCTTGCCCGTGATACCCTGCTTCCAGACGCCGGCGACGTTAATGTCATGTCCTGGCTGGATGGTGTTGAGTAAATGCCACTGCTCATTAAAGATGGGGTCGGTGATGCCTAGGTTATTCATCACGTCGTTCATATGCTCAACCATCTTGGGGTCGGGAGTCTCCTGGCGAGCGAAATTGGCCGGGCCATGCGACGGCGGGAGAATTCTCTTCTCCCAAGGCTTTCGAAGCTGCTGTTTCTGCGCTAGACGGACGCCATCGAGGACGTCAGAGCCACCAAGCGCGCGTTTCCGCAGTTTGCGTTCTCGCAGGGCTGGCTTGACGATGTCATGCTCGACCTTCCTAGCTGAGAAGATATGGTGGCCGTCGAGATTGCCGAGTGTACCCTCGTGCCTCAGACCCAAGCGGTCCGCAACCTGGCCGGCAGATGTAGACGAATCCAGCTCGAGAACATAGTAGTCGTTCGTTTCGTAGTTTCGAGGGTAGGAAGTACCGCTTACGAGGGCAGCAAGGCCGAGGAGAACCGCGGAAAGCTTCATGATGCGCTGCCGAAGACCCCTCGAAGGGAAGTTGATGATGCGCAAAGACAGGAGGGACTGAAGAGATAGGAGTCGACAATTAGCTTCAGTGCCCGTATCGATTTCGAGTCGAACAAGGAGGAAAGAAAAAAATTGAAGAATAAACCCCTAGAAGAGGCTGCCTGACACAAAACGTACCTCTATCGTCAATCAGGGGAACAAAGGGAAGGCTTGGCTCGTCTAGGTAGGCCGGGGGGAAGGGGCGGAAGACGAGACGTGGTCGAGTCGCAAGTGGCAGGGGCGGCCCTTGAAGATGGCCAAAG